CAGCATAAGGAGCACTGCAGCCAGGGCCACCTCCTCGGGAGGATTGTTTTTTCTTTCCTCCCTCTCCCTGCGTTTGCCTGCAAACCACTGTCACACAAGAAGAGTGAGAGATGGCTATTCGGGAAGTCTTTCTTTTCAACTGTGCATTATAGTGAAAACAATTCTCTGAAATACAGACTCACTTAGATGTGGAAGGGATTCTCTTTCACTAATACTTCACAGAGAGCTGGGGCTTCTCAATTGCAACCAAGTGGACAGATTGATGTTTGACCACAACACCCCACACGCTGAAGGTAAAATAAAAACAAAGAAATATCCACAGGCAATACTGATGAAAACTGAAATACCTTTAAAAGACTTACCCTGTCCTTTTGAAATGGGTTCTTTTTAAAACATCTGCATGTGTGTGATAGTTATGCGCATGTGCACTAGGGTTCACAAGTGTGCACATTCCCTCCCAGACGCATCCACATGTGGGTCGAGGTGAGTCTATATCCCAAGAAGCTGCTTCTCAAATTTCCTGATTAATAGTATTCAGAGTGGTGTCTGATTTCTCAATGGTTCTTTTCAACAGGAATGTTGAAGACAATAACCAGCTAATATTTAAAATGGCAATTTGCCAACATTTGCAGACTCGATAAGTCTTTTTTCTTATTAGCAAGCATAAGTATCATGAAAATCCAAAGGAATTATGAATGGATGAACTTTATATATCAAGAATGGCAAAATAGATATGACAGACTTTGAAGATCCCCCATGGAAGACTTCACCCTACCTGGGGAGCAGAAAGGGGATGGGATAGGAGGCCAGTGGGGAGGGGGCAGGGGAGGAGAGGGAACTGGGATTGATGTGTAAAAGAAGCTTGTTTCTAATTTAAATTTTAAAAATGGAAAAAAAAAGAATGGCAAAATAAGAGCGGATTTGTACATGGCCTTGTTAGAGCGCCCCACCCCCACCCTAGTTACGTTGAGCCTGATGCGGGACCAATGTAAAGCCTGAGGTTTGGGTTCTCTGGGATACTCCTTGCAGCTGCAGCAGCACCTTCCACGAAGCCCCCTCCTGCTTCCACAAGAAAAGCTGCTCATGGGGTCGGGGTCATGTAGCCAGGACATTTAGACTATGGCCTACTTTTCTAGCTGCCTCATAGGCTCCTTTTCGTAGTGGGCAGCAACGTAGTCTTTGACTGAACGGTCTATGATTTAGGATGGAAATAAAAGTGAATATCCCCCAACATCATCTGGAAAGTATAGCATGCAGGAACATGCCATTAGTCTTAGAAGGGATTCTAGCTCCCTTAGAACTCCCCTCAAAAAGTTGTTTGAAAATGCAGACACCAGGGTCCAACTATGAGGGAGTGCACAGACGCTTGTAGTGTAGCTGGAAAATACTCAAGACAGCACCCACCCACCTTCTATTCCTCCTTTCCCCATATTTCCATTCCTTCTCTTTGTTGGTTGTTTGCATTTGGTAATACAACCAAATTGCACAGAATTATAAAACAAAACCCAACCTTCACCTATTTCTTATATTTTTTCTCAGCTACCATTTATGTGTGCTTTCTCCAAACAGCTAAACTTCTGGAAAGAGTAACCCACACTTTTCCCCACATTAATCCCAGCCATTCTTTTCCCTGTCCATTGTAATCTGGGCGTTTTTCTTTTCTTTTCTTTCTTTTTTTTTTTTGCCCCATCCAATAATTTAGGTAATTAACAGTCCCAAACATTTGATATGTTTGACTATGTCCTCCTTTTTGGAATAGTCTTTTCCTCTGGCTTCCATGACATTGCTTTTTTTTTTCTATTCGGACAATGAAAATCTCCTAGCCTCACTAATAGGCAAATAAAAACCATATTTTGCATTAGCATAAAGCTCACTCAGAAGGACTTCTAATTCTTTTTTCTTCTTTTTTTCCAGGGAAAAGAGCACATGAAGTTATACGTCAAAGGTATGGAAATATTAGACTTCTGTCTTGTAATTGGACACTGGGTAGTCTATGAACCGATAAGGCACAATACCTGGCCTCATAGAATACAAATGCAAAAATATCAAATAATTGTTATTATATAAGGTGAAGTGTATAGAGAAAAATACACAGCCAACCTCTATCCTCTGAACATGTATGCACACACAAGTGTGTCCCTCCACATATACATGTAGACATACACAAATGCACCAACAATAATTGACATTTTAAATTCCAAAAGTCCATCCAGTGCTGGTGAGATGATTCAGCAAGTCAAAGTGCTTGCTAACACGAGTTTGACAACCTGAGTTTGATCCCCTGACCCCAAGGTGGAAGGAGAGAGTTGATGCCCAAAAGTTAACCTCTGAGCACACACCACACACAAAAAAATCATAATAGAAATTAAAATAGAGTTCAGCTAAAAAAGGAAACTTTTATGTCAGTGAAGTCAAGAAGCAATTTATTAGTTTGGTTTCATTTATATGAATTAAGGAATCCTCTGAATTGTTCCTTTATAAATGTTTCGAAATAATGTGTCACAGGCTAACAGGGCTGGTGAGATGGCTCATAGATTAAAAGCATTTACTGTTCTCCCAGACTACCTGGGCTCAATTCCCAGCACCCACATCAGGCAGCTTACAACTGTTTGTAACTCCAGTTCCGGCACCCATGTGGTACACATAAACTCATGCAGCAAAGCACATAAATAAAAATAAATACTTAAAAACAAGCAAACAAACAAAGTGTAGTCTGAAAACAAGAAGTAATGTCTAGCAGGTGAAAATGGGATGACATCTCATTGGATGCTCACTCAGTGGTGCTATCTGGAAGTGTTTGTTAATTGATTCTTCCAGGGGTGTTTCTCATTGCAGAGAGCCATGGCAGACAGAAGAAATGATTCCACTCAGGTCTAGCTTGGTGAACTAATGAGCTTAATTAAAGTTACTTTCAGAAGCATGAGCAGTTTGCCGGCAGTTATACCATTGAATTAAATTTTTGTTGGTTTTTTTTTTTTTGCCCCAAGCATATATAACCAATTATGTATCTTCAAGGAAGGGAGCTCCACTTCCAGGAGGGTGTTTTAGTGGGACCAGTCTTGTGAGGGTTTCCAATGGGTAGACTACAGCTGTTCTGACTTTAAGGCTGGGACCCAAGGTTTTCATGCCTCAGCAGAGTTTCACATCAGTATTGCTTTAACTTAGTCTAAGAAGCATGATTTCTGGTGCTCTCCAAGTTCAAGGTGAGTATACCAAGGGTCTCAGATGGCTAACAAATCCTATAACCTTTCTCCGTCAAAAGTGTATCAACTACCAGGACGACTTTGGATCTTACGCACTTAATGTTTGAATTAATCTAGTGTATCATTGCCCAAATTATCAAAAGGCCCAATAACCTTTAAATGTCAACACAACTGCAAAATGTCAGTTTACCCAGATATAAAATTTTATTTTAAAAAATAAAGGAAATGGAAATAGAATTTGAATGTTTGGGAATCTTATTTCCAAAGAAAAAGCCCTATAAAATTTTAACCCACCAAAAAATCTCAATATTGATTGCCTAACTGTTGGAAAATTGGTGGGCAACAGAAAACATTCCAAACAGTGTATAGTTATCATACATTCGATGTGCCTGAGAATAAAGGCTAGGATTAACCTGGATTCTGGAGCCTACTAGTCTTATTAATAGGCAAATAAAAAATCAATTTTGCATCAGCATAAATTTCACTCAGAATGACTTCTAATTCCTTTCTTTCTTGTCTTCCTCTCCAGGACAAAGAACATTCAAGATTTATTGCATGCTGAAGGCATGAAAATATTAGACTTATGTCTTCTAATTTTCTTATATTTGTTTTTATATTATAAAAATGTACCCAATAAATCCATCAAAGAGATTACTATTGTTGACGTTATACTATATGATAACTTTGATGCTACAGAATTAGGGTTCCTTTCTTTCATGGACCTTTTATTTCAGTGAGGAGGGAAGGGGAAAGACAGAGACACAACACACAAACAATTTTAGGCCACAGAAAATTCTATGAAAAGAAAAAAAGATAATGCATAAAGTGACTAGAGTGTCACTTTAATTGGGCAGTAAGGAAAGCATCTTTGCTATGACAACATCAATACGTCTTGAGAAAAAAAATGAAATGCAATGTTGTACAAGAGAAACTGCAGAGGTCCTAGACTCAGAATTAACTTACCCCAAGAAAAATGAGTATTTATATAGATTATCTTAAATATGTGGGAATATAAGTATTTGTAAAGTTGTTTCTAAATGATCTCAGTGAAAGAAATAAGCAGCAACAACAAAATACCATATTGCCAGTACTACCCCGTGGTGCTAGAAGTTTGCACAATGGGAACACTAAGGAACAGCGATTCTCTGGTGTGTTTCAGGGTTCACAAAGGAGGTGGCATAAAGGCAGGGTTTTGAATTGTCAGTGCAATCTGCAAGGGCGTGTCTCCGTGTACCATATTGGTGGGGATAGCACAGCGAACAGTTGAACGCAAAGGAAATGGGCTGTTCTTCATTGGTGTGAGGTTCAAGAGGCATAAACGCCTATCCCTGACTCTGTGGCTCGGTGCTTCCATGCCTTTCTTTGTTAAATATGCTTACAGAACAAGTTTGTGAAATGAAATGGAAATCTGACATTTATAGGCATTCATAACTGGGTGGGGCATGGGCTGTTCATCGAGGCACCAACGATAAACTTTCTGTGCTTGGTTCAGAATAGGAACTCAGTAAACATTCCTAGGACCAATGAAAGAAAATGAATAGTTGGTGGTTGGGGGTGGCAGCCTGACGTCTGGTGGACAAAAGTCTCCCAGCATTAAAATACACTCTCCTGTTAATAGTCTTAGTGTCTCAACTCCTTTTCAGACTTGCTTTCATCCAAACTATGAAATGCGCATCATTTCTGTTATTCAGATGACCAAATGCCGAGTCTCCGAGTGGGAATGTACCCCGACTGGGTCAGCCACTATACTGGAGGTTCTGACAGTTAAGGCGTGGGTTCACTACCTAGACGAGAGGCTTGCAGCATAAAAAGATTTATGTAAAGCTTTAAGTTTGAGGAACGTCAAAGGGATAAACGGGGGCGGGGAGGGGAGGTTCCAGAACGTCCCTACCGGCAGGTCACAGCATAATCACTGGGGTACTTCCCAAGACCATCGAACCTCGGGGCAGGGCGGAGCGGCCGTGCGAGCCCCGGGACCCGCGCAGCCGCAGTGCAGCTCTCGAGCCTGGGGGGAGGGGGGAGTGGTGAAAGGAGGCGGGACCAACCTCACGGGGCGGGGCCGAAACCCGACTATTGAGAGGTTCGGCGGCAGTTACCCCGAGAGCGGCCCAACGTCATTTCCTGTTGAAGGCGATGCTTCCGGGTCACGGTGCGCAGGGGCTGGTGTCGGGGTGACTCCTCCGTCGTCCGCGGCGCCTGTCTCTGGGGTCCCTCCCCTGCTGGCCTCTGCCCCGGGTGGTCGTGCTCGCCGCCTCGGTCGTGAGGAGGTGGGTGTGGTGGCACCGCAGTCCCCGGCTCGTCTGCCGGTCTCCCACCCTCGCCCGCCGTCGCCTGGCGCCTTCCGCCATTTTCCCGTCTGGAGGTGTCGGCCGGGGTCGCCCCGTGCGGGTGACCCGGGCGGCGAAGGCCTGCTTGGGGGCGGGCGGTGGGGGGTCCGCGGTGACCGGGGTGGGGACAGTGCGGCACGGGAGTGCTGGAGTCGTGGCGAGCCTGCAGCTGTCGCGTGGCCTCACGGCCCTCCAGCCTCTCGGGGGAGGGCGAGAAGGCTCCGGCTTTTCCCCTAGTGCGGTTCTGCAGTGTGAGAAGCCTCAGGATGGTCCACCTGCCCAGGAGTTATCTTTACCTTTTGTGAAGCCTTTTCCTCTAAGGGATGGCTACGCAGTAGGCCCTCGGGGATGGCTTCGCCCCTAAAGGAATTATGGGAAGGTTCTTTGCTGTCGGCATCGCGCGTTATCATACCTACAGCGGTTTTTATGCGGTTGTTTGAACGTTATCTGAAATTCTAGGGTCTGAGTTTAAAAGGAGACGGAAGAAATATCAATATATGATTCCTGGGGATGCGCTTGGATCTTAAAATGTCATTTATTTGAAGATTATTTGGGCCGGTGTAGGGACGTTTACGAGATTCGTAGTTTGCTCTTAGGAGAGCAGCTACCCGTAGAGAGAATGTGACGTCGTTGTTATTATTATTTTGATTGCTGAGTTATGGGAGACGGTGCAGGGTTTTTTGTTTATCGGAAGCCTAGAAAGGACTTGGAATTTTCCCTCAACCATTTGGATATAGTTGTAGGGTTTTTTTTTAAATATCGTTTTGTTTTTTGAACCATGGTACAGAATTATGTGAAATAACCTAGCTTCAGAAGGGAAAATTTGTCAGTTTTTATATACCGTTTTTCATTTAAAGGACCGAATGTGAATAACTAGTTCAAATGGTAGGTTTCTTTTTCATGAAGTTATTTTCTTATGTCAAGTAGTTGAAATGTAACCGTCAGGGTCTGAAGGCGTGGCTCAGCAGTTAAGATCATTGGCTCTTCCAGAGGACCTGGTTGCATTCTCAGTATCCACGTGTGTCGCAGTATCACAGCCGTCTCCAACTGCAGTTCCTGGGGACCCAGCATCTTCTTCTGGCCTCCTCAGGCACCAGGCATGCAAACAAAACACCAGTGCACATAAAATAATTTTTAAGATGTTTAATGTTAAGTAAATATTGTTGATCTACAGGTAGACTGGTTATAGATATTTACCCTACCCCGATACCTTATAATATTTGCATATAAATGTTTTTGATGCAGGAACTATGAATGGGAGGGCTGATTTTCGAGAACCGAATACAGAAGTTCCAAGACCAATTCCCCGTAACTATCATATTAAATATTTATAGTAGCACTTTCTGTGTAAGGAAATTTTAATTGCTTGAGTAACAGTAGCAGTTGGGCTGGCTTTATGGGTGTGATATCTGTATAGTCACAGGACTTCATTCTTGCTTTGATGTCTTATTGAAGTCTTGAAATTCCTCATTGTTAGAACAGGGGTGTGGGCTGGTTTTCCATATTTTCATTTAGTGCTGTGTCCAGCCTTTCCTAACAGGTAGTAAGAATAAATTCTGTTGGAGGGCAAAGTTTTTTTTTTTTAAGTTGACAAGCCAGTTGCTTCATTGTTTTGTTTTTTAAATGTTCTTATTACTAGTAGACAAAGCTAACTTTTAGGGCTTTTAAGAAAATGACTTCCAGTTTTTCTCTAAAAGACATAGGGGCTGATTACATTCCGACAGAGGAAGAGCGGAGAGTCTTTGCAGAGTGCAATGAAGAAAGCTTCTGGTTCCGATGTGAGTCATCCTGGTTATGAATTTAGAAAAATGTACTTGCGTGTATTTGTGGCATCTGTGTGGATGTGCATGTGGGGGTGGGCAGAGGTCGGTGTCCTCCTCTGTCCCTCTCCATCTCATCTTGCTGAACCTGGAGTTCCACCATTTTGGCTAAGTTGGCCAGCCAGTGAGCCCCTGTGATCTTCCTGTCTCGGCCTCCCGGTACTGGGATGTCCATGCCTGGCTGCTCCATGAATACTGGATCAGAACTTAGATCCTCATCTTTGCATTGCAGGCCCTCTATTCACTGAACCATCTCTCCAGCCCAGGCTCCCCAGTTTTCTGTCGGTGTAATTCAACCCTACTTTTACCTACAAACTTGACTTAAATTTGTGTTTGAAATTATAATTACATATAGAACATATTGGGGGCACTTTTGGCATAGTGTGCTTATTACTAATAGAGATTAAAGAAATAGAATTGTGCCAGGTGGTGGTGCATATGCCTTTAATCCCAGCACTTGGAAGGCAGAAGCAGACACATCTCTGTGCCTGGTATACAGAGGGAGTTCCAGGACAGCCAGGGCTACACAGAGAAACCCTGTCTTGAAAAAAACAAAGCAATAGAATGGAAGGAATTAAGGTTTAGAGGTGTTAAATGTGTACCCTGTGTTACACTTCATGACTGTCATGACAATGACAGCTGGTTTGTTACCTTTTATTATAGTGAGAAATTACTGTACTATCAGCTCTGGATTTCTGACTACAGATCTTAACATTGGGATTTTGTTGTTGTTGTTGTTTGTCTATTGTAGCCCTGACTAGCCTGGGACTTGCTATGTAGACCAGGTCTGGTATTGGAGACTATCCAGTGATATAGCTCATGAGGCCCTGGGTTTGGTCCCTAGTACCAGGATGGTGGGTACAGAAAACCGAAAACCAGACCAAAACAAACAAAAAAACCCAAGCAAACAACCAATTCCCCAAGGCAACTAGACCAGGCTAGTCTTGAACATTTTTGCTAGTAGTCCAGGTGTGGACCACCATGCCTTCTAAGAATTTATACTTTTAAGTACAGAGAACATTGAAAATTACAAACAAATAAATACAGTGCTCTGTTTATATAAAGGCCTGTGCTTTGAAATCGTAGCCTTTTTATGGTTGCTGTAGGTAATTCCAACAGAGAGGCTGGATGGAATGTCAAGATTTCTGTTTTAATCTTTATTTTATGTATATTGCATTCTGCCTGCATGTATGTCTGTAGACTATGTACCTGAGGAAAGAGGCCAGAAGAGGATGTCAGTTCGTTTGCAACTGGAGTTACAGACTGCTTTGAGCTGCCATATGAACGCTAGAAACTGTACTTGGGTTTTCTGGAAGAGCAGTCAGTTCTCTTAACCTCTAAGCCATCTCTCCAGACGTGCAGGATAGAATTTTAAAAGGGAGAAGAAACAAAGAAGGACGAGGGCCTGGGAGATAGCTCAGTGGGAAAGCCTGCCAGTGCAGTGTATAGCCTTGAGTACGGTGTATAGAACCCGCATGAAGGAAGGAGAGAACCTACTCCTAAAAGTTGCCCTCTGACCTCCACAGGAATGCCATGATGTTACTGTGAAATGGCAGTTTTTGAAAAGGTAGATAAGAGAATAAAGGAAAAATAAAGGTCAGATGATAATATCAAGAGCTACATAGTTTATAACAGTACTCATTAAAGATACGCTATTTGTACGGGAAAATAAATTGAGTATGGCCATTTTGAGTTTATGGCACGACAAATTGTTTTCAAGTTTTAAAGACATAGACTAAAGGAAAAGAAAAACCTCGATAATCCCAGTGCTCAGGAGATTCTTGAAGTTGAGGCTGGTCCTGAGCTACATAGTTGAAGGTCTCCCTGTGCTATATAGCAAGATTCTACATGAAAAAGACTAGACGTGGTATGAAGGTTTTAAAAAGTAATATGTTAAGCTAATGGATAATATTGTGTCCAGATTTATTTCTGGCTAATAGATTTATGCTTTTGTGTTTGTCACTTGAAATAGCTGTAATATCATGCCTAAATTGTATTCTTTTGTATTTAATTTTTTAAATGATGGGAGAAAAAGGCTGATTTGATTATACTTGAATTAATATTTTGTGTCCATAAGTAACATTTTACTAGACAAAGCTAAGTTCATTTTTTTCATATTTTGTCTTAGGATAGTTTTGCCTTAAACAGCAGTTGAATAGTTGACATAAATACTATTTACTCTCTGGCTCTTTATAAAATGTGCCATTCGGGGCTGGAGAGATGGGTCAGAGGTTGCTAACACTGGCTGTTCTTCCAGAGATTCTGAGTTCAATTCCCAGCAACCACATGGTGGCTCACAACCATCTGTAATGAGATCTGTTGCCCTCGTCTGGCCTGTAGGTATATATGTAGACAGAATACTGTATACATAATAAATAAATCTTTTTTTAAAAAAAGTGTGCCATTCACTAGATGCATGTTATAATTTACAGTTGAAATATACAAAGCAAAATTAGGGAAAGGAGCATTGGTGGAGCTAAGAGGAAGATGGATGCTTACATCTGAGAGTCTGTCTCTCATGTATGCTCATTAGAAACCCAGAACCATCACAGGCCTTTAATCCCAGCACTCGGGAGGCAGAGGCAGACAGATCTCTGTGAGTTTGAGACCAGCCTGGTCGACAAGAGCTAGTTCCAGGACAGCCTCCAAAGCCATAGAGAAACCCTGTCTCGGAAAACAAAAAAAAATAAATAAATAGAAACCCAGAACCAGGTTTTTATTGACTGATCACAAAGGCACCTTTAGGCTGACTGGTACTGAAATCCCAGACTCCCAGATAGAAAGTAGATTCATTATTTTGTACAAACAGGTAAGACACTTATTTAGGTAAATTTGTTATCAGTCTAGGGAACTTGACCAGTCTTGTGTACTGGCCAAGTTACCAGATCTAGTTTCTTGCCAAGCTAGTGAGTCAAGGATCAAGTCTCATCATTGCAGAAAATCTTAGGACTGATGTAGAGAGCAATGATTCATGGCTGTTTTTTACATTTTAAATAATTTTGGAATTATAGGTTAATATGCATCTTTTATATTTTTTCATATGGTTTTAAGGAATATTTAAAATGCACGATTTCATTCTTCCAGCTACTATGTTAATCTCATGGCCAAATATATTTGTGTCTTGGTTCACACAGTGTAACATATAATATAGAGCCTAAAATTTTAGGATCTGATATTAGGCAGGTGTTATTAGGTTGTGAGACCCAATGTTGATGGTCTCCCTTTATATGGTTTCAAGTGAGTAAGGCTCTTAACATCTCTACTTTGTAAACAGTAGTAATACGGCCTTCCTGATAGAAATCCACGAGGCTCGTAGACTGTGGAATTTGGTTATATCACTTAGTGCTGAGTGACTTGTGTGCTTTTGTAGCTTTCCTTTTTTCCCTTTTACTTCAGAAACAATTTCTCATCATTTTACTTTATTGTTTTAGTTGATTATTTTAATGACTTGCTATTGGAACCTAAATCTAGATGGTTTCTTGAGTTAGAGTGTTTTCTGAAAAATACTCCTTTGTTTTCACTGTGTGTGCACAGTGGAGCCTTAGAGACTTTGGTTGTTGAATCTGCATCTTGATGGTTCTGCTGTTACTGATGCTGATTTATCTTCTACTATTCTCAAAACAGCATTTTCCTTCTGTTGACATTGACAAGCTCTTTTTCTCCTTATAGCTGTGCCTTTGGCTGCCACAAGTATGTTGATTACTCAAGGATTAATTAGTAAAGGTAAGTGTTTAAATTGCACATTTATTTAGCACTTTGGATAGCTTGTTTTATCTTATCCTGATTTCTAAATAAGGAAATATGATCACTGATAAATTTATACAGTTTTAGAAGAATTTCCTCTGGACTTACTTACTTGATTATATTGATTTGACATTTTGATGGCATTGGGACTTGGTATGTATTTTATTTGTTACAGTGACTACTTATATCTAGGAAGCCTCCAGGTTTGAACTCTGGCACTGCATTAAAAAAACAAACAAAAAAACTGGGTGTGGTGGCACATACATGTAATCCCAGCACTTGGGAAGTGAAAGCAGGAGTTTCAGAAGTTCAAGAGCAGCCTGGGCTACTTTGAGACCGTCCTTCAAAAACAAACAAAAACCCCAACCAACCAACCAACCAACCAACCAACCAGAGAATTTGATATTAATAACAATCTACAAAAGCAGGAAAGTGCTTTAACATTTGTTGATATGTCTGGAGGGATGGTTCAGTGATTAAGAATACTTACTACTCTTCTAGAGGACCTGGGTTTGGTTTCTATATCCACTTCAGCTTTGTACAACTTTGTAACTCCAGCTTCAGAACACATATGTCTGTTTTTTTTTTTTTTTTTGGTTTTACGAGACAGGGTTTCTCTGTATTATTTTGGAGGCTGTCGGTCCCGCCTAGCCTCGAACTCACAGAGATTCACCTGCCTCTGCCTCCCGAGTGCTGGAATTAAAGGCGTGTGCCACCACCGCCCGGCTCAGAACACATATGTCTTACACTCACACAGGCATACATTAAAAACCAACCAACTAACCAACCTCGTGGCTAGTTTGCAAGAGTAGCAAACCTGGACTAGTTGAGCTATGTAGCATTCTTACTTAGAGATTGTTAGAAATGCAGATTCTAGACCCATATCTTATTATCCTGATTTTTAAATAAGGAAATATGATCACTGATAAATTTATACAGTTTTAGAAGAATTCCGTCTTTTTGGACTTACTTGATTATATTGATTCATTATCATAGTCTGTTTTTCAAATTTAAGGTGATTCATATGCACTGGCTTAAATACCTATAGTTCCCTGTACTAGCTTTGTCTTCTCGCCTTGGGGAATAGGTAAGGATGAGAATAGCATTTAAAAAAAGTTTAGAGGGCCTGGAGAAGATGACTCAGCAGTTAAGAGTACGTGTGTTTGCAGAACACTCAGGTTCGGATCCAAGCACCCTTGTGATGGTTACTATTTGTAACTCATATTCTAGAGGACCTAACGCTTTCTTCTGACCTCTGCAGGTACCTTGTATGGCACACAAGCAAAGTATCCAGTCTTTAAAATAACTTAGAAATTCAGGGGTCTGACTAGTAATGTAGTTTTATGTGTCTGTGTGTGCATGCAGGTGCAATCTTGTCTGCCATTCCTCAACCACTCCACTAGAATTAGGCAGGAGGGCCAGCAAGCCCCAGTTCTAGGATTACAAATGAACACTTTACCAACTGAGCTATGTCTCCAACCCATGATCATTTTTTTTAGAAGTCCTTGAAGAGGCTAAATACTCTGGTATTGACTTTAGGTTAAATATTAATGTATCAGTGGTGTAACCAGCAGAGTTTTAGTTAAACATACTTTATGAATCACTGGCCTGTTGTAGCCTCTACCTGCATATTTGGCAGGGAAGCATTCCAGAAAGTGGTGGTAATGTTAGTATGAGTCCATACAATTTAAGAAAATCTGTTAAATTTACTATAAGAAGACATGGTCTAACTTACACTCAGTATATAGCTGAGAATTACTTTGAACTATTAATCCTCCTGTCTTCATCTCCCAGGTGTGGGATTACAGACATGTACCCTCTACCTGTTTCTGTGATTCTAGGAGTCAAACCTAGTGCTTTGTCCCTGGTAGACATTCGTGCATTCTGTCAACTGAATTACCTGCTCAGCCCCATTTTAGCTTTATCACATTCACTCTGAACTAGATCAGAGGTTTTGTTGTGACTCTTCATATGGTCATAGAAGAAGAAAAATAGTTATAGGGTTGGAGGTGTAGCTCAGTAATAGAGCTCTTGCTCTAGTATTCAATCTCTGTTCTTATTTATAAAATGGATTTGGGGCAGAGATCTGGGGCTTGGTGAATAAAGTTCTTATTATGTAACTGAGAACCTGAGATTAACCCCAGGACCCATGCAAAGCTGCAAGCCATAGTACATGGCTGTCATCTCATGGGTTCTGCAGTGAGACTGGAGCAGAGACAGAAGGGTTCTAGAAGCGCACAGGCCAGCCAGCCTGTCATACACAGGGATAAACAGAGATACCCTGTCTCAAACAGGGTGGAAGGTGAGGGCTGATCTCAGGGTTGTCCCCATGCCCAGTATAAACAAAATGCATTTAGATGGAATGGAAGGATCTGGGACGGACGATAATAAAATATTGGAAGCATTTGTAAATAATTTCATTACAGTGTGTTGTATGACCAAAATCTTAAACATGGAAGCAACCAAGAAGTGTACACATGTATGTACACTAAGTTGTTTCCTTCTTAAGATAGGTTCTGTATTGGGAAAAAAACAATTTAGTCACATTAGTTTAAAGAAAAAACTGACAAAGGAGTCAGTCAGTGGAGAAATCAGTGTCAGTTCATCATGTAATATGTTGCACTCCAGTATGTTATTTAACTAAGAATTAGACACATGGACTTGTACAAAAGAAAGTGAAATGCTCTAGTGGTCATCCTAAGAAACATGCATGTGGGCACAGACTGAAGCAAAGAGGCAGTTGTGGAATATTAATACTCAGTTACAGGTGTTCAAAGAAGATAGAGGTCAATCTCTAAAAGAAATGATTCAGGGTGGAAGCAGTCAGGAAGGAGGAACATGACCGATGGGAAGGGGTATGTGTGAGCCTCTGGGTTTAACACCCAGTGCTCCTCCTTCCACCCCCTCACCCAGAAGGATATTAGGTATAGAGGAAAGAGCAGGAACCCCATTAAATAGGTAAGTTAGAACCAGAAGTAATAATTACTACTTTTTTGGATTATGGTGTGAAGAACTAAAAGTTTTAGTTTTTTTTTTTCCCCAGTGGTGGCATGAAATCCTAGGCAGTTGAGGATAAGGTAGAAATTGAAATCAGGACAGGCTTTTTGGGTAGGGAGTTAGACAGGATCTCCAAAGACATGGCATTTTATCCTGACAGTAGCCTCCTGTCCATAGAATGATGCCCTTGACGTGCTGTACTAGCTCTTCCCTGTTTGTTCTTGATCTAATAAGAAAGGATAGAGAACAGAAAAGGAAAAGCATCCTTCCATGTTTCTCTTACTGTTCTCAGCTCTTTCACATCTCATTTCATGTGTTTAATCCATTGCAGTCTATGTCATTCATTTTTATCCATTTATCCTTGTTGGAAAGGTCAAAAGTTATCGCCATAACCTCTGCGGTACTTGATGGACAGTTTTTGTCCTTGACCAACATCACTCATCAGCACTAATTTTTCTTTTGGGGGTGGGGGGCATTCAGTACATATCCCTGGGTGCCTTGGAACTCTGTGTAGTCCAGGCCAGCCTTGAACTCAGAGATGTACCTGTCTCTACCTCCCAAGCACTGGTGTTACACACTTGGCTCTATTAACCAGTTCTTTTTTTAATTATAAATGTGTATATATTCCCTTTTTTTTTTTTTTTTTTTTTTGGTTTTTCGAGACAGGGTTTCTCTGTATTGTTTTGGAGCCTGTCCTGGCACTTGCTCTGTAGACCAGGCTTGGTCTCGAACTCACAGAGATCCACCTACCTCTGCCTCCCGAGTGCTGGGATTAAAGGCGTGCGCCACCACTGCCCAGTCAACCATTGCTTTTTTTTTTTCTGAAAAAACATTTTATGTATGAGTCCATTTCTGAATTCTTGCTCTGTTTGTCTTACTCTTCCATTTATAAATGACTATTAGGACTTGGTACCCGATGATAGTTTATATGTTGCCTTGGCTCTTTGTGTCTACATACAGTTTTTAGAATAAGCAAAACATGTTTTGATTTTAAGTGGAACCTTGAGTTTGTAGATGGATTTATGGAGGATTGCCTTCACAGTATTTAACATTTCACCTCTTTAGTATGAAGTATTTCTTCATATTCTATATTAATTCCTTGATCAGTTTTCTTGTTTTTAGTGTAGAGCTGGTTTTATATATTTGATTAGAGTTCTTCCTGGTTCTTGGATAATTTTCAGTCCTGTAATTAGTCAAATCTTTTAAGTCTTTGTTATTATTGATTTTGGGTAGATAGAAATATTTACATAGTCTCAAATGTGTCAAGTGGTCATGCTGTACTTATGTATTGCAATAGTCTATAGTGTTTTGACATTTAGAAAATTTTCTAAATTCTGTTGACACTGAATTCACAAAAGAGTTAGTTATTGTTGGCACTTGCTGTTTTAAGATAGTCAAAGCTTGTTTTTCCTTCTTTAACAATTCACTCAAAAATACTTAACTCTTCTTTAGGAATCCTGTCAAGTCATCCAAAATATGGCTCCATTCCTAAACTTATATGTAAGTATGAATAGTGCAGTGTTTTTCTTACCCTTTTTACAAATGAGTAAATTTAAATCAGATGTTTTGAGTTACTAATATTACATGTTTATATGCTGCCACAAATCAAGTTTATATGCTGCTACAAATAAACTTTTCAATAAGTGCACTGCTTGACAATTTTAATGTCAGCATAAAAAGTCCTGTGTTAGTTAAAAGACTCTCCTCCATTTTGTAAATAAAATAACTTTTTATTTGCTAATACTTTCTACACAGTACTTGAAAATAAATTCTTGCTCTGTTTATAGTAAAAGAAAGTTGCTTAGATATCCTACTAATCCAAATAATTGTGCCTAGAATTGGCTTTTTTTCCCATTAACTTATATTCCATTTTATGGCTAACAAAAAAGAAGTTAAATTGTTCTTTTGAAAATACATATGCCCTTTATGAATCTTTTTGGGGAAACTTATCTTATATTGGAAGTATCCATGATATAGCAACATCATACTTAGGTCAGACTTTGAAATTCATTATTTTAATGAGCTTTGTCATACTGAGTTTTGTTTTTAAGACAATCTTGTGAAATTGTTTGGACTTGTAACAAATTCCTTTTTATAATAAAAAAATGCCCCAAATCCTTGTGACTATAACCTATTTGGTTGCTTGTCCATCTCTCTGTCTTGCTCTTGTCTATAAAGTGGCATATTGAGATTGTTTGTATTGTCACTTATTCACTTATTTACTTTGAAGTGACTTATTTTGGGGAAAAGGAATTATAGACTTTCTCCATGAATTTGATGTGAAGTATCTTTTATCACCATTTTAGGTATTCTTGGTCTTTATAAAATCTTAGAGATACTTTAGAAACATACTTTTTTAAAATGCTGTTTTGGAAAAAAAATTTGCCTAAAAGCCCATTCAGTGACACAATTTTTTGTTCGTTTTTAAAAACAAGTTGCGTGTATCATGGGATACTTTGCTGGAAAACTTTCTTATGTGAAAACTTGCCAAGAAAAGTTCAAGAATCTTGAAAACTCCCCTCTTGGAGAAGCTCTGCGGTCAGGCCAAGCAAGGCGCTCTTCCCCACCTGGGTAGGTCAATTCTTGGTTCCACTTAGCAATTTTGGTTTTTAAGAAACAAAATGCAAGACCTGGCCGGGCGTTGGTGGCGCACGCCTTTAATCCCAGCACTCGGGAGGCAGAGGCAGGTGGATCTCTGTGAGTTCGAGGCCAGCCTGGTTTACAGAGTGAGTTCCAGGACAGCCTCCAAAACAATATAGAGAAACCCTGTCTCGAAAAAACAAAAACAAAACCAAAAACAAAACAAACAAAAAAATGCAAGACCTGAAAACTCTGCCTGTGGAATGGTCATTTGCTCTAGTCCAGAAATGTTTTGCCTTAAAAAGTAGAACAAGATTTGGCTGCTTTATGACCTGTCCAAGAATTAAAGAATTTTAGTTTTGATTGAATTTGGCAAGCTCTTTTGGCTTATTACATTTTGGACTCGTGTCAAGTTACCAGATTTTGTTAATCTCTCTCAATGGATAGCTACTTTTTTGTTGCTCATTAGGAAAATAAGCTTAGCAGAAAGTTCATTTTTCTTGAAGTTTGAAGGCAGTGCATTTATATTTGCTTTGATTGTCTCATACTAACAACCAGAGATAATGCCTTTTTTTTTTTGAGACGGTTTCTCTGTAGCTTGAAGCCTGTCCTGAAGCTTGCTCTGTAGACCTGGCTGGCCTCATACTCACAGAGATCCACCTGCCTCTGCTTCCCGGGTGCTGGGATTAAAGGCGTGCACCACCATGGCTTGGCCAGAGATAACTCTTTCTTAAAGTATATATTTCAAAAATGAAACTGTTGCATAAATAAATTTTTGGTATAAATTGATGTAGGTGTTTTGAAGTATTTTTTTAAATTTAGTTATTTACAAAGCTGTAAATCAGATAAAAAGGAAAAACACAAAGTTTACAGCTTTAAGTGGAGGAAAATTTAGAGTTGGCTTCATATCCAGTGGAAGGGAATGAATGAAATCATGTTATGCGTAAGAGTGGTTATTGAAAGTTACTTTGTGACTATGAAGTCTGTGAAGCATCTGGGTAAATATTTTTTATAAACAGAAAAGATAAAGTATAAAATAATGTATATATAAAAATTATGTCTAAAGAAAAGTTTATACCAATAAAAATAGTGTAAGAGATTAGTAATATGGGTTATGATTGTCAGGTTTTACCCAAACTTCTGCAATGTGGTTTTGTTATTTAAAGTTTAAAATTAGATCTTTAAAACAAAACAACTACAACAAAAGTTTTGTAAAATGGTAACATGGTGGGATGATGTATATAGCCTACCACTTGGAAAGTTGAAGCAGGAGAATTAAGTGTCAGGTAAGCCTGGCCTACATCTTTACATCCTGTCCCCAAAACAAAACACTTTGAAATAAGTTAGTTAAAGTAGTACATGCCATCAATCCCAGCACTTGGGAGGCAGAAGCAAGCAGAACTGTGTGAGTTCAAGGCTAGCCTCATCTAGAAAGTGATATCCAGTACAGCCTGGGCTACCTGTCTCAAAACAACAACAATAACAACAAAAAAATTGTATACTTCTAAATCTAGTAAAGCAATATTTAACCCATTGCTGAGTTTCTTCAGATTGTGGTTTGGGTTTTATATTGTGAAAATATAAATAGTCTATGTGGGTAAGTAAATACATTAGTAAGATCATTGAGCAGACTGGTGAATTATTTCATAGTAGAAACAATGTAAATTTATGAGAAGTAGTAATGCCTGTATCTCTGTCAGCAAGTAATGGATTATATGGGCTATAGCTTTGAAATAACTCCCCACTAAATGGGTAGCATAGACACATTTATTGAAACCTGATCTGAAGGACTTTTTCTTTGTAAGATCTCTAATACACATATTGAAATTATTATTTAGCAAATTGAATATATAATTTCCTACTTTCTTTATTGAGTGACTGTTTACTTTTGAGGCAGTTACACTATGACCTCCAACTCAAGTTACCCCCACCCGAGCCTCCCCAGAGCTGAGATTACCATGTTCACCATCATGTTTAGTTAGTGATCATTTTTTAGGTACCACAGTGGGTCATTACATAGCTTGACTACTTTTATGGAAGAAACAAACCATTCACCTGTTTATAAATAATTTAAAATTATGATTATTTTAGAAATCCATAGCTTATTTTTATGTCTTAATCTAAAGGTAATGATTTCTTGTTCTTACATATTATGATGTTCTTTTACAGGCACTATGCTCAAAAGTCAAAATATGACTCAAATGTGAGTGGTCAGTCTTTTGTGACATCTCCAGCAGCAGACAACATAGACAAGGAGACACTTCCTCGTTATGAGCCAATTCCATTTAGTGCTTCTATGAATGAATCCACTCCCACTGGTATTACTGACCATATTGCCCAAGGTAGAAACTTCTCTTGAAATGAATTTCAGCATTTTATGGTCCAACGTATGTATACACTTTATTTGATGCTCTTTTCTGCTGGATATCACCTCTGTGTGCTACCGTCAGCTGTCAGCCTAGCTTCGTCCATCAGCCTGACTCAGCATGCTTGTTCTTTTCATTAGTTTCTTCATTCACCCAGCATACTCTTGCTAGGTATGGGAAAAATAAAGACAAGTAAGGCCTGATTCTTATCCTTGAGAAACTCGGTGTTTTGGAGGATACAGGGGTAGATGGATAAGTTACAGATTGTCCCAGTGGTTGAAATGTTCACAAATGTAGAGGAACAACAAAGAAGTGATAACTGTCTGGGGGCAACAGAGGCTCCAGGAAGGTGTAGGTTGGTTGCATTTGTTAGGTTGGTCTTATTGGCTTTCAGTATCCTGCCTGTAATTGTAAGAAAAAGTTATATGCCTGCTTTACAACATTGTTGTCACTCGAGGAAATATACTTGAAAATGCATGTGAAGTTTGTGTAAATACTAAGTTCAGAGTGCAGAATAAGTGAAGTAAAAGTTTTGGATTAAGGCCAGGATTTAAGTTATGTTTAAGATTTGCTGCAATCTTGTAATTAGTCATTATGGAGTAACTAATTTGTAATTCTTCATCTTGAATGGAGATGGTAATGCTTCTCAAAGAACTGTTGGAATTTGATGAAATAATCAGACTTAATGCTAACAGATAATAAACTGAACAAAAAAAATGTTAGATTCCTTCCTTCCATTCTACTTTATAGTGAAAAGTAGGGACTTAGAAACAGAAAACTGGCTTGCAATTTTTGGCTAAACCCCAAAATACCAAGAGCCATGAAAACCAGATTTGGCAGCAAATCATGATGTAGCCTGTATTTTACTTTATTTAAAATGATTTTTCCATATATTTTGTTATAGATATGTTTGTTATTGATATGTTCGATTATGCATTCCTCTCTTGACCTGGCTGGGGATATTATATATAATATTTTTCTCAAATTTGTGACATCCCTAACTCAAAGGGCTTGGGTAAAGAATTGTGGACCATTGTAAAATATGCTTTGAAAATGGTTTTGAAGGCTAATTTAGCAACAGTTAGGGGTTTGGCTTTGTTTTTGTCTTTTTGAATCTAGAGTAAAAAGAGAGGAAGGAGGGTGCAATGAAAAAGAGAAAAATGATGATAAGAAGGTGCTAAAAGGGACATACTTATAAATATAAATATACAAGCCAATTGTGACTTTGTAAGTTAAAATGTACTGTTAGTTTCTGTGGCCTTGGTAGCATTTCAGTTGCTCAATAGCTATGCATGCTTGTGGTACCTGGTGTAGATGTAGCAATGTAGAATGCTGTCGCTGAAGAGTTACTGGTCACTAAGCTTTTTAGTGAAAGTTTCTGCACAGGGGAAGGGACAGTTGTAGGAGATAAAAGGCTTGAGTTCAGGAGAATGTTGTTAGGTACCTTAATCCTAAGGCCTCCATGCTCTCTGGTTGGCACCAAAGATACTAAATTAGAACAGAAAAGAGATGGGCAGAGTAAAGACACCATGGTAACTCTGAAGGCAGCTAGCTGTTCTTTTCCATCTGTTTCGATGTTTTTAGTCAAGCTCCAATCCATTCTTCCTGTATTCCAGCATGCACCAGCTCTTCCTTTGCTGTGTTGTCCATCCTTCCTGCCATTTTCATCAGCAAAATCTTGTGTTCTAATTTCACTTTGGTCTTTACTCTCAAATGAACAAGGTCCATATTTAATACATCTTAATGCCCTCTGCAGCTATCCATCTGACCATTTCTGGTTTTTGTATGTGTGTGTCATCCTCCCCTCTAGGTCAAACTCCACACTCGCCATTGTTCCCCACGTGAGTCCCTCGGGCTGCCTTGCTTTGCCAGCTGCTGCCCTTCCTTTCAGGGCACTTTTTTTTTTGCCTTTTGTCTTGTTTGCCCATGATTTAGCTTTCTTTTTCAAGAATTCCAAGGACTTAGTGATTCCAAGGACTTAGTGATCTTTTCAAAGTAGAAGGCTCTCTGCCATTATCCATTAGGAAAATTACCACGGGCAGTTGATTGGTTTCGGGCAGTGCTGTTTCTCACTTTCTTATTCCTTCCAGGTCTTCATAACGCTTCACAAAGCAGTAAATTATATTCTCCGTATAGTGCCATAATGTTTTCATTCAACTCTACACGGAGAAAATATCTGCCATTTATCATAGATAACAGAATAATGGTATTTCTGTTTTGCCTAAGAAAAACCTGGAAGGAATTCCATAGATCATCTATTCAAATTATTTCACAATTGGAAAAACCCAGATTCAGAGAAGCTTAGTGATTTGCCCAAGGACTTGTACTGATGGCTGATAGAGTGAGGACAGACCCAGGGTTCCTGAAAGTTCCCACAACCTTCTTAGACATACCTGTTGGGAAGGGAAATGAGTTCACTGGTTGCTTATATTACCACTAAGGTAATCCAAGTGACATAAGATTATTTTCTATGTTAGTGGAAGATTATTTTTCTTCTTATCCAGGAAAAATGAGTTTCTATTCATGGCATACTAGAATAAATTATAAATTGAATCTTGTTTCTTTGTATTGATAAGGTAGGCATTTACCATAATTAAAGATTAGAGTTGAAAATTCTATTTAATAACATAGTAACTTGTTACTCACAGGATTCTGATTATTCACTGAAGCTTTAAATAAATACCACTTATGAACATTGAAATTTTAATTTAGGATTAGAATAACATGTTCAATTTATGTTCTTTGCTGAAAAGTACTTTTTGTGAGGTATATAAAACTTGAGTAGATATTCTCTGAGTGTTATCAGTTATTCTTTTGAAATGTTCTTGTGATTCTTTTGCTGTTTATATACTTAAACTGTGTTGCCCATTTTGTTTAAAGACTGTTTCATACCATGGAATAGTTATTTCAAATATTTTTGTTTAGATACCATAAACATAGTTAAAAATAAATTCAGGTAGTGTGTAGCCATAGAAGTATTAATATGATTTACTGTGAAGTTTTGTTTAGTCATGGCCAGTAGACTCTAATTCTGTACCCAGTATAATGATTCCAGCATTTAGTGAATTTAAGCCACACTGTTAGATCTTATCATTTTTATTCTTTTTCTGGCCATGGCTGAGTTTATTAAAAATTTGATACTAATGGTGAATTTCAGAAGTACAAGGAGGGAGGATTGTACTTCACAGTTATCTTGGAGGAAGCCTAGTGCCTTTGGAGTGGTAATAATAGTTTGATCTTATATTTCATTTTTCTGTTTCAGTTTTAGGTAAAAAGCATTTACAAAATTTAGACACTTTAGACTTATCTACCTTTTATCACCACTTATTAACTGTTTGTTGTTTTAGGACCTGATCCCAACTTTGAAGAAAGTCCCAAAAGAAAAAGTATTACATATGAGGAATTAAGGAGTAAGAACAGAGAGTCATATGAAGTAACTTTAACACACAAGACTGACCCCTCAGTCAGGCCTATGCAGGAAAGAGTGCCCAAAAAAGAAGGTATGACAGTTTAGTCTAATCATGGGACTCTTTAGATTAGAAGCTGGTTTCAGCTGGTTTGAGCTCTAAATGTTATGATACTAATATGTCTTTAACAATTCAACCTACTTACCAAAATCAGTTCTTTTTAAAAGAATAGTTATTTCAGAGTGGGCAACATGGGTCATCAGGTAAAAGCACTTGTCACCAAGCCGGATGACCTGAGTTCATTCCCTGGGAATCAATATGATGGAGAGAAAAGAAAGTTGTTCTCTGCCATTATGCAGCACGCACGTGCACACACACACACACACACACACACACAATAAATTCAATTTTTAAAAACTTATTTCATAGTTACCACTTCTCCTGTTTTAAAGTAATTTGGAGGGAAACCAGTTCTCTAGTACAGGGTTTTCCCTTATAAAGAATCACCTTGGGAATTGATAGCTTTTCCTAACAATTCAGTATGTCTGCTGAATAATCAGGTTTAGTGACCAGAGACTGATAACTGGCCAATAATGACACTTCGGCAAAAATCATGGAATCATAATTGAGTAGTAAGACACTTTAGGGCATTTCTAGAGGAGGAATTAGACTTTATCTCTATAACTAATAAGTTTAACTTATAATTTAATTTTTTTTGGCCAACAGTATGCTATAAAAGTAAGAGTTTAGATACTTCATGTACAGGAAGAAGACATTTTTACTAGGCTTTGTAATCATTTCTGTTTAGAATTTTATGACTTATAAAGGAATACCAAGGGATGGACCCTGTTTGAAGGTTTTCTGTGCACTCATTTATAAAAGTTAAGGGAAGTGGTTAGAAGTGGCCCTGGTTTCTATTAGTAGCACAGCAAAGTAATAAATACATAATGGGTACATAAACTATCATGGTAGGAATAGATCTTAGTGCCTCCTGGAGGGCCATATGCACAAATGCATAGCAAACCTTAGTATTGGAATTTCTATACCTAATTTGATTTCTAGTTGTTAATGGTTGATTCATTTACAACTGCTTTTGTAGCCACAAGGCATCATTTTTGTTGTAAAATTCTTTACCTTTGACATAGATCTGTGATCTAGAACACTAAACTGTCTACATTGGTGGCCTCACTGTGTAGACTTGTCCTTTGTGCTGATTGACTGGGGCTCAGACTGTAAACTTCTTGAGGGCTGGAAGCTGTTTTCCCCTTTTTGTGCTCCTTTATTCTGTCTCACAGCACAGCATTTGTAGTTGTGTCAGAAAGGAGCTGTTGCATTTTATTTTTATTTATTCATTTCAGTCTGATAGGCTAGGGAAAGAGTTCTGGGTGCACTTGGGGCCTGCATTGACTGGGAGCTCTGGCTGCACAGTCTTGAAGTGCTGTTAATGACTCAGTAGTAAAACACAGCTCGTCACTTGTTAAAAGAAAAATGAGGTTTTTCTTGTGCTTCATAACACAATTTAAAGAAAAGACCTGCTACGAAATTGTGATTTTTTTTTTTTTTCTAAAACGTTCTTGAATCTCTTTGGACATTGGTATAGCGTAAATTCAGAATCTTTTTTTTTTTAAGATTTATTTATTATGCATATAGTATTCTGCCTGCATGTATGTCTGAAAAGAGGCCACCAGATCTCATACACAGTTATGAGCCACCATGTGGTTGCTGGGAATTGAACTCAGGATCTTTGGAAGAACAGTCAGTGCTCTTAACCTCTGAGCCATCTCTGCAGCCCCTCAGAATCTCGTGAAAGTCTTTTGAGCTTGTTTATCTGGATTATGTTTGTTGGTGTTTATCTCACTGGAAGTTAAGACAGGAAGCATATATTAGCAGAGCAGTGCTATCACATCACGGATGGTTAGAATACTGCCATGTGGTTATAAAGGAACAAAGCAAACGTGAGGGAAATGGGGCAACCTAGTGTGATGTGGTGTGATGCTAACAGGGCGGTTTTGACTCATAGATTCTCAAAGTGCCCACCCTGCAGTCGTTGCTTCTTTACATTAGAGTGACTTCTTTACCAAAGGTGTTAATTCACAGATGGAGACAGAAGGTGAGAGAATGGAGGAAATAGGGGCTGGGTGCAGCCAGGTGCCTTCCCAGCATGTCTGCCCTGGGTTCCATCAGCACTGCCAAGCAAGGCAGAGGGGCAAAGTCTCAACATTTAGTATTTAAGATGCCAGAATATGGGAAATAGTTTCTCCTGGTCACTTGACAGCTGATAGGAGAGATTGAATTAACTACATTTCTGTTGTTTAATTTTTGTGAAAAAGCAAAATTCAAGTTTATTGGTGTTTTGTTTTTTCTTTTTTTTTTTCTTTTTGGTAAATTTGTTTTGGTATGTACTATCATATACACCCACATGCTCATTTAGGCAAACTTGTAAAGGCAAGCACCCAGGCTTTGGACTTAAACAGATCTCCAAATCTTAGTTCTTGTTAAGGCTTATACCTTGGGCAAGTTACTAATCTGCTGTCTCACCTTTCAAATGGGGATTGTGCAGGGTTATGTAAAGTTCTTGACAAAGGGCATTTGTAGTCAGCCCCTTTATAGTTGACTCTTAGGTGCTCTTGCTCACACAGTGCAAACAGCTTTTCATCATCATAACGGACTTAAAGTGGTGTCTTTTACTGTTGGAGTCATCAGTTATTTGTGCTTTTTTCCTAGTCAAAGTAAACAAATATGGAGATACTTGGGATGAGTGAAAAACTCCGTCATTGGACCTACTGAAGGCCTTCCGTATCCGGCTTCATCCAGGTGGTTGCCCATACCTGCGTGCTTGGACTCAGCAGCAGTCTTCATAAACACATTTAAAACAAAACTCTGGTTTTTGTGGCTTAACATATGATGCTTTACAAACACAGATTTTAGTGTTTACTGTTGTGCAAATGTACTGATGCAGGACACTCAGAATGATGGTATTATGAGGTGGTTGTGTATACTTGGTGAAACTGTTTTCAGTTACAGGGAGAAGAGACTCGTGAAACTCGACTGTGACTCTAGAGAAACCTACATGAGAATAAATGATAGTGCATGTTGAAAGGGGTGGGTGGGGGGAGCAAGCACACGCCTGGGGTCCAGCTTTCCATCAGTCATTAAAGGCCTTCTGCATTTGCTGTAGCATCTTAATGTTTATGGTGAATAAAATGTAAAAGCAGCAGTGTCATTATCGTTTTTATGGCTTGGTTTGAAATTTGCTAATGTGTTTTCATGTATGGTCTGAGTAAGTAGTATTTTAAACAAAAGAAAATAGAAATGTGTGATACGGGTAGACAGCAATATATAGTAATAGCTAAATATCTTTAAAAAGCAGTGTTCTTCGTCTGTCACTAGAACAAAGTCTCTGAGACTATAAAGAGAAAAAGCGTACTTTGGTTGACTCAGGCCTGGTGAAGCCACACATGTTCAGGAATTACATGGTGAGTCAAAGCCACTCAAGTTCCCAGCAAGGGGATCAGAAGCTGTTGTCCCAGAGTCCCTTCCAGGACCTGCCGTCAGTGCTCTGTATTTCCCACATGGCCTCACCTCTCAAAGATCCTACTACAGCTCACTGGTGCCACTCTGGGGACCAAGCCTTTAACACTTTAAACTAGCATAGCTATGTTTCCAAATTTTGCTATAATTTCATTATTGACCTAAAGTTTAATTCTGGTTCAGGTAAATTGAAAAATGTGGTCTTAGACCAGAAATGTATTTTAACTGTAAATATAAAATAGCCCCAAATTTGGTGGTTTATGGCAGAGCTTAATGGTACTGTTAGCCCTAGCATTTGGGAGGCTGAGGCAGGAGGGTTCAAGTTTGAGGCCAGGCAGGGACTATCATAATAGTGACTTCTAGACTACCCTGTGCTACATAGTAGAATTCTTAGAGAACAAACCAAAAGTGCTATCTCACTTTGCCTTGAGTCAGGAATGAAGGGACAGGATCCAGGTGAGCCACTTGACAGTGGTGTTTTCTTGTTGCAGTGGGGTGCTTAGCAGCTGAACTTGTCTGCTAGGACAAGTCTTGCTGTGTTTGTGTGGATTAGATTAGACTGGGCTTCCTTGCAGTGTGCCAGGCTGGGTGACCTTGAAGGTTAGGGGCTTGTGTGTCAGTGTGAAAAGAAAGCATTGGCAGCACTAGTCTGCAGTATTTCAGCACTAGCTTGTTTACTAGAATGTGAATGTAGACTCTGGCCTTTTTTTTCCCCCTCCCCTGTCTGGCCTAACTTTGAAATTGCAATTCTGCCTCAGTCTCTTGGGCAGTGGAATTGCCAGCAGGAGCCACCACGCCTAACTTTTTTGCTCCAATTTTAAAACAGTCATGGAACAGATGGTGTCTGCATTTTAGGCCCACCCACACCTGCGCAAGGACCTCTAGTTTGTGTCCATTGCAATAGCTCAAGTGCAGGAGCTCATATAGTCTGGTCTTGGTGGATTACTGTGGGTAAAACTCACAGTTTAGACTTGTGAACTCAACATGACCTGCTCTGTTCATCCCCAATGGTAATCTATTAGGCATAACACCACTGGTTAGCTACTGCTGTTGAACTGAACCCAAACACAGTCTCCTGTTCATAGCTATCCTGAGGTCCAGCCAGTTTCATACTTACGTATACTCTCTGGGGTTATTGTTGCAGTCTCTTGACCCTGCCCCTGAATCTGTCTTTTCCATGAAGGTCTCCTGCTTGCTTCAATTGAGTTTTCTAAGTCTACTTCCACTCAGGGAGTTGAGGAGCCAAAGGCCTTGTGCTGTCCTGTTGCAACCAACTTAATTCTTTCTAAAACCCGGACTTCTCATGGATCAACATATGAGTCATTTTATTACACAAGCCTCTCATGTCTGTTGGACTCCAAGATCCAATGATACCTTGGGCTGGTTCTGCAAGGCTAACAAACCACAGAGAACCATTTGCATGTTTGAAATGTCTTCTTATTGAAGATCCATGTGAGTGTATTGCTGGCGTGTTTGTGTACTACCACATGCATCCCTGGTGCCCATGGAGGTCAGAAGAAGGCATCGGATCTCATGAGACTGGGGTTATGGATGGTTGTGAACCACCATTTGGATACTAGGAACCAAATCCGTGTCCTCTGGAAGAGCAGATGTGCTCTTGGCTTCTGAGCCATCTCAGCCTCTGTCCCTGTTTGAAACGTCTTAAGCATCCTCATCTTTTGAGACCTTGAACACTTGGGTTTTTTTTTGTTGTTTTGTTTTTAATCCTTCTGGTGCTGGGGCTTGAACCCAGAGCTTTGCACATTTTAGGCAAATGTTTTATCACTAAACTATGTTCTTAACCTTTTTGGATAAAAAAATCATGTCCCACTTTGGGTTCAACCACCATTTCTGAACATAAGGATGTTGAGAAGAGTAGAAAGGACTGTGCAGAGTTTTTTTTTTTTTCCAACACATTCCATTTTGAGATGGAGTAATTTGTTTATGTCTCGTTCTGACAGTTGAGAGAGCAAACAAACAAAAACAGGTGGCTCCTGGCGTAATGTTGCCTGGGACTGTTAGCAAGACTATCATCAGACACAAATGCTGCTGAACTTGGCTGTCTCATATACAGCTTCTAAGAACTCTTAATCCTTCATGGACCACTCCACCCCTGTTGCAAATCCCATTACACTACACTTTCCTCTGTCCTGCCAGCATCTACGTGCTGCTTGATCCTAAACTAAATGCAGGACCCTCTTACAGCTACCAGCTTTACAGTAGGATTTGATGGAAAAGCAGAGCTATTAGGAGTGATACAGAGTAAGAGGTGGGCAGCGGGAATGACACCTTTCCAACTGGGAAGCTGATGTAACGGTTCACAGGGTACCACCTCTAATTCTAGTACTATGCGTGTTCTTGTGGCCATCGGGACAGATGGACACACAGAAGGCTTCTTATTTTGACAAATGAGATAGGTGTGTCCTGTTCACAGTAGGAAGGAAAATGCTAAATGACTGACGAAGGGCAGCAATGTAGCGAGTGGAGAAGATGGTGAGAATCTAACGGGCGGCTGAAGCAAGCACTGCCCTGAACTCTAGTGACAGCTGTAACACATGGGTTACATTACATTACACCCTTCATTTGGTAAGCAGAATCTGCTTCCTCCTCGAAGGTAGGACTACCTGTTAATCAGTGGACCCCAGTTTTCATATGTTGCTTTATATATATTATAGGTACTGAGAAACTCTTGTTAGTGAACGAAGTCTGAGCTTGACCATGAGGACTGTGGCAATGTTCGTGACTTGCAGAACCTCATAAAGGGAGACTTGCTTTTTGATTCTGGGGTTTTGCTTTGTTTTGTTGTTTCTGTTTGTAAGACAAGGTTTCTCTCACAGAGAGCTGTCTGCCTCTGTTGCTTGAATGCTGCAATTAAAGGCATGCACCACTACTGCCCGGTGAGAGACTTGTTTTTCAAGATATTTTTCAATTTTATATGTATGAATGTTTTGCCTGCATATCTGTCTGGAGACCAGAAATTCAGATCCTGCTACTGGAGTGTTTTGTTTGTGAGTCATACTGTGGGAACTGGGAACTGAACTCAGGTCCTCTGGAAAAACAACCAGTGCTCTTAACCCCTGAGCCATCCCTCCAGCCCTTTCAAAAATATGCTTTATACCACTTTGTTTTGTTTTTATGACACAGGTCTCACGTAGCTAGGATTGGCTTGAAACTCACTGTCAGTGGAGGATGACCTTGAACTCCTGATCCTTCCTACCTCAGAAATGCTAGCGTTGCTGACCATACTAAGCTTGATAGTCCTTACCCATTTCACCTCCCAGATCCACTCGTTTTTGCCATCTGTCCCTAAATTCATCTCCTTTCCCACCCATGCATAGAGGTGAGAGAATATCTCTTAATAAACCAAGTCACTATTTGAGGTTTTTAGTTAGAATATATTCAGAAAGGACTCCAGATAAAGCCCACATCCAAAAGTTTGTTTGTTCCAAAGGGCTGGAGAAATACCTTAGTTCCTGTAAAACATTATGCCTATAAAAATGGAGCACCTACCAGGAACACCATATATTCAGATGCCAAAATGGAAACAATGGCGCCAGAGAGATGGCTCTTCCAGAGGGTGGGGGCTCAACTCCCAAGCACCCGCATGGTGGCTCACAACCATTCACAACTCCAGTTCCAGAGCATCTGACACCCTTTTCTGACCTTCAAGGACGCCAGGCACACATGTGTGCACATAAACACATGCAGGCAAAACATTCGTCCAGAAAAAAGATTTGATAACGAACCCACCTGTCCAGTCAGAAATGTTGAAAAGAACAAATAGAAAATAGCACAGGGAAATTGAAGAGCTCAAGTGTATAGTTCAGAGTGGCCAACTGTGCACACAAAATTGGAAGAGGACCTGAAAAGTAGGCCATGTGTAAAAGCCTACCCCAAAACATGACGCAATGGCGTATCTTAGACCACACTAAGAGCAGTGACAGCGGTAACAGCAGACTTACATCAATTGGTTACTCAGCCCCCACTGTTGTAAACATTTTGTGATTAGCAGCTCATTTAATTTTCATGAATAACTTGCCATAACGTAAGCTTAATACAATTTCCATTTTGAATGAGGAAATTTGGGTCCAGAATAGGTAAATAATAGCCCAAAGTCAAGAAGCCATTATTAAGTGGGAACCCAGATTTGAAGCATTGAGTCTTTGCTAATGATTTCAAAGCGTGAAGCAGAATCACCACCACCATCATCATCATCACCATCATCATCTCCATCTTCTTTCTGAACCTCTCACTACACTGCAGAGTACACCAGACAGAATGGTTTCCCTAGGCCAGGGTATGGCGGGCCTGGAAACCCATTCCGGTGATTGAAAAAACTGAGGCCCCTTAACCAGAATTTCCGGAAACATGTTTTCTAGGATGTAAGGCCTGTCAGGTCAAAGAAGAGTGCAGCTGCTGGGAATCACCAACAGTGACTGACACATATTTACAAAGTACCTAGATCTGCAGGACCCCTGCACGGGGATTCAGAGAAATCCCAAAGGCAAACATCCTGTCCAGAAGGAGCTTCTGGTCCGGATGTGGTGAGGGGCAACACAGGGCTCTTCTGCAGAACGGAGCTGCTGGGCTAGGGCTGGACCAAAGCAAGGCCCGCAGATGTTCTTCCCTAAGTTCACACGGCTGGCGGTCCTGGGGTCTGACCTGCCGGCAGCATGCAGAGGTGGATAGAGACCTGTAGGTAGCACATGGAGCCTGGTAGCACTCAGTGGATCTCAAGCTCAGACGGTGAGAGTGTAAGCACCAGGAAGGGGGGTTGTTGATTTCACTGTTGCACTCCCATGCCTTAGGTGGGTCACAGCACAGACTACACACACTTAGAGTGTATGACTGATTCACAGTGCAATCCAGTGTACTACCTAGCTAATTCTCCAGTAAGGTCTTGAAACCATTCAAAAACGTTTGCATAAAAACACGTGAAATAGAAGATTTGGGCTGGTATGTAGCTCAAGGGTGTGCTTGCCTAGAACACACAGGTCCTTGGTTCAGTCAATGTCTCCCCCAAACAAATCAGCAGGGTGTGGTAGCATACACCTGTAATCCTAGCACTCGGCTGACGGAAGCAAGAGGATTGGATTTCAAGGTCACCCTCAACATATAGCAACTTTTGAGTCCAGCCTTAAACCTGCCTCAAAAAGAAGGAAGAGAGGAAAGAAAAAAATTAAAGATTGAAATGTTTACGTGGAGGGAGAGAAGCAAAATAGACGCCCATGTTTAGCATGCATCCTGCCTACCTGCCCTCAGTTATGTGATAGCTGATCCTGAACTTTGTAGCTTTTACATCAGTCTTTGAAATCAATGCCAACTCTAAATATACAAAGTTACATTTTCTGGTTGAAACTTGAAGGAGTTTTTGCTGATTAACAGTTTGCACCAAATGAGTATCAAGGGCATGACATATTTGCATTACATTTCATTAGATCATATTTCATTACTTCTGTAACAGAAAATGGATAGCACCTATTGTGACAGCATGGAAAGAATATATATATATATATATATTTAAAATTAGAATGTTAAAAATGTGTTAAAAGCATTATAAACAGTATGTCATGTCATAAATATGTAATGAATGTGTGTATTACATATATAATAAATTCTGTTGGAAGTTATGATTATTTGGACAAAGTTAACAAGCACGAGGCAATTATCCTGTTAATTTTTTATTAGGAAATAACTTTTTATGCAGAATACACTTCAGCTCCAGCTATGAAACTCCAGGATTACACAAATTAGGGCAAATTTGAGAGACGAATGTCTGCCTTAGTTAACAGGGATGTTTGACTAGTGCCACAATATTTATCTTCTTCTTCTTCTTCTTCTTCTTCTTCTTCTTCTTCTTCTTCTTCTTCTTCTTCTTCTTCTTCTTCTTCTTCTTCTTCTTCTTCTTCTTCTTCTCTCTCTCTCTCTCTCTCTCTCTCTCTCCCTCCCTCCCTCCCTCCCTCCTCCCTCCCTCCCTCCCTCCCTCCCTCCCTCCCTCCCTCCCCAGAAAAGTTCCCTATATTATGTAGTTCAGGCTGTCCTGCTGCTCACTCTGTAGATCAGGCTGACCTCAGACTCACTGACTCACTGAGATCCACCTGCATCTGCCTCCCGAATGCTGGGATTAAAGGTACACACCACCATGCCCTGCATGAAAATTTTAAATATCTTTTCTAGCCATCTCATGTATGAACCAAGAAATATTCTTATTACTTTAAAAAAACTTCATACTTGTTCACTTTCCAACTCTGCACTTGTGCCTTCAACATTTTCACGAGAGAGAGAGAGAGAGAGAGAGAGAGAGAGAGAGAAGAGAGAGAGAGAGAGACCCTGTTGATTATGTCTTTGTTTTAGATAATCTCACAAAGATATTGGGTCTCCAAGCATGAACCTCAAAGTCTCCCTGGGTACACACCACACGCTGATCGGTGCTTCCCCAGCCTTTCTGGTATGAAGGAGAGTAATCCTGGTTTTGTTAGAGGCTGTTGTAGGGAAGCCTATGATGGTATGCAAATCCTGGGGGCCTCTAAGCTTGGTCCCGAAAGATTATAAATGCACTCCTAGGATATTCCTGGAGTGCTCCCACATTAAATCAGTTTCACGTTTTGTTGTTGAACAAGAATCTTCCCTCAGTGACAATCTCTGCTAAGAACATTTCTTTATATTGTCTAGACAAAGTCCAAATGTGTGAGATGGGCTTGTCAATTTAGATAGTAAATCTGTCTCTTCTTTGGGTACATCCCGGGGTAAAGTAAATTACCATCACATTTTAATTTCTGTCAATTGTAGCAGGCTTTTTTGGACTGCCAGCCCCCACATCATGACACAGAGATTTAATATTAATATTAATTATGAGAACTCAGTCTTAGCTTAGACTTGTTTTTAACCAGCTCTTATAACTTAAATTAACCCATTTCTATCTACGAGCTGTCATGTGACCTGTGGCTTTTACCTCTCCTCCTGCATGCCCTGCTTCTTCTGCATCTGGCTGGGGACCATGCCTTTTTTCTTCCCTGAGATCTCTCTCTCTCCCCAGAAATCCTGCCTAACCTCTTTTCCTGCCAAGCTATTGACCATCCATCTCTTTATTAAACCAATCACACTACAAAGGAATATTCCACAGTTAATTATCTTTAACTATGATGATTCAACCTATTTTCTATGAGAAGGCTAGGAAAGCACCCATACAATGTTTTGTTTCTCAATCCATTACAGAGTTCACCAAATCCTATGAGGTAAATTTATAGAGTAAAGACTCATAAAACAGGCTTTATATTCGATTTCTATCCAACCGTAGGTAGTATTCTTAGCACATTTAGGGTGGGCACGGCCAAGGTAAGCTGTTATGTAGGCTAGTTCTACTAAATGTAGTTTTGACTTAAGACATTTTCATCATACAATAGCTTGATCAGGACACTGAACTGAGTGGCATCAGTAATGGGTTATATCTCAAGTTCTCATTTCCCCATATGGAAGTCTCTGGATGACGCTGGCTAGAGACAACTTTTATCATTTTGTCCCATTGATTTTTGCTTTCTGGCAAGTTTATCTGCAGTTTTAACCTGCTGTCCCTTGCTAAGTTTTGTTTTTTTTTGTTTGTTTTTTTTTTTTTTTTTTGTTTTGGTCATTTCCCGCCCCCCATATCATGAAAGTTCTTTCCCAGGTTTACAGCCCACTTGATGGTGAGTGCTGGGAATTGTTAAATGTGAAAAACAGACTCTGCTTCTGACATACCACACCACAGCAGACTTCGGCTCCAGATGCCTGCTTCCTGGTGGGCATTGAGGACCCACAATGGAATGATCAAGACCTACTGGACAACCTTCCAGTTTTCCCTCTGTAGACGTGTTCTCACACCAAGGCAGATCACCATAGCAAACCACTTCAAGGAATAAATTATCCACTTAGCGAAAAGCAGAGAGCCCAAGCAATAAACCCAGTTTGACTGAGAACTATAAAGATGTCAACAATTAAAAAAGAAAAGTTTCTATGTGGTGGTGGTGACTCTCATGTCTTTCCTCAGTAGCTAGACTTATTTGTAACATTGATTGGCTGTGCTTAGCAATGTGACAATGTTCTGGTTCCTGAGAGATCTCTTTCTGGCATGGCAGAAGTGATTGTGCCAAATTCCAAATTGTGGCCAAGAGCTGAGTTAGCTGAATCACCAACTTTTTCTTGTCAGAGTCAAAGGTAAACTGTATTTAAGAAGCCAGGGGCTAAAGTGTAGTTTATCGGTAGAGCACTTGTCTGCAGTGTGTGTGTGTGTGTGTGTGTGTGTGTGTGTGTGTGTGTGTGTGTGTGTGGGGCCTTTCTGGAACCACCACAGACATCAGGGTAACGATCTGAGGGAGAGAAGAAGGTAGGTAGTTCAGTTCAACACAACTACGTAGTCGGTGTTGGTTCAAACTTTGGGAGTCTGGCCCCAGTACTTTATTTTAGGCATATTTAAGCATAGCACAACTTGGCAGAAACTTTCCTGGTGATCATTAAGTCAACCCTATGTGCACAATAAAGCACACATAGATCTCTCTGAGGAACAAAGCTAAAGAAAGATCAGAGGCGACTGCAACAGAATTCTTGTAAAGCACACGTGGCACCTTCCATAAAGATGTGCTTATAGATTAACAGCAAAGCCTCACAATAAGGGGGAGTCCAAGGGAGGATTTGGTGTGGTCTTGGCCACACAGTACAGAAGTCACCAGGCTATTAACCATGTCTGTTTCCAGTCTTCTGGGTGAATGACAGTTTCTGCATCCTTCCCTTTGAAGGAACAACCCCATGTTTAACATTCTGGGTTCCCTCATGCTTACCTGTGAGCACAAGGATCTCTGTGCCTCCAACACTTGTCTAGCATTTACAAAGTTCTGGACTCAACTCCCAACACAACAGAAGAAGAAAAAGCATGCTGGCTCTGCCTTTTGATTTTTCAGAAATAGAATTTTATTGACCGTCAAACAGGATATGTCATAGAAAAATCAACTCTGTCAAACCACTCCATTTCATTCATTTACTGCTCAAACAAAAATAAATTTCCACATGATTTTGATGCTTAAAATGAAATTTTTCACATCAAATATTAACCTCGGATGAAATTTCCCTTTTAGCCTCCATGGTCCAGGCTTGTAGATATATTGAGTAAAAGCACCCCACTCACCACCCCACATAAACATAACCTCTATTTAAATGGTGATTTGCAGACAAAGCATTTTCCTGAGAAGCTGCAAAGATGCAAGGGTAGCTTTCACACAGGGTTCAGCCAACCATAAAGCAAAAAGGTTCTAAAAAGGAAGACCTGCACTTTCCATGAAACATTGTCTGGAGAAGAACAACTCAAGTGCCATGGCATCGGCTGCCCCTGAGCTCTGGAAAGCCCCAAGGATTTCTCACTTTTAGAATTAATTCAGTCCTTGGTGCCATTCTCTGGGAGAACAGGTTAGGAAGTTGTCCTTTGTCTCTGGGGCCACAAATAATTGGTAAAAGAATCCGCTGTTGAGTACTGACCGTTGAGAATGAACCCATGAGCCAAGCGGGTCACCTACAGATAGATTATGGGCACTTTTACAGCTCCACCATTGTGATGAGCCACCAAGTCATGCTGGTCACACCAGCTGGTTTGTGTGATAACCCTGTCACAGGAAATGTTTTCCACTGAGTTATAGATCTCAGCCCCCAGACTTTAGGATGGGTATCTAGTACTAAAACACAGTCGTTCCTGGATTGCTAGTTCCACATACATGACTTTTCTTAGGGTCATGGTTTCTCAACTAACTTCCATATCATTCATTCCTGTTCCCTAGCAGAGAACTTAAATCTCTGGGCTGCGGGGGTGGGGGTGGGGGGCGGAGCACCAGAGTGAAAGAGTTGCAGGGAGGACTAACCCAGAAGCTACTCAAAATTCTCTCAGGAAGCGCTAAGCTATGTGGGGTGTCGCTTCATTTCCTGCATAGTGTGTGATGGCTCCCAGCATGTTCTTAAAGAACAGAAGACTATGCCATGCTCAAGTCAACCGAGAGCATTCCACCGCAAGCATTTCAAAGGAACAAGAGACTTACAAGGATTCTGTTTCAATAGAAGTAGATTATCTAAAAGCACACTGGAAAGTCTAAATGTGTGCACATTTGGAGGTTTAGAGACCACTGCAAACCACAGGCACGGTTTAGGAAGTGGATGGCTGGGGCCCTTTCTCCTCGCTTAATCCGCGTCTGGTTTTGCACTCCTCACAGGTAAGCAGGCAGTGCCTGGAAGAGAAGCAAAAACAGGTGGCGACTCATACTTTGGTAGTGGGAGCTCTGTGTGTGTGTGTGTGTGTGTGTGTGTGTGTGTGTGTGTGTGTGTGTGTGTGTGTGTGTGTGTACGGGCATGTGCATGCACACATGAGGGTGTTCTTGCTACGTGGGTGCATATGGAGACCAGAGGTCAACATTGGGACAGGGTCTCTCACTAAACTCATTGATTAGGCTAGGCTGGGCGCTCAGCTTTTTTGCGGATGCTAGGAACCAAACTCCGGTCCTCATGCTGGCTCCAAGAGAAACTTTATTGGCTGAGTCATCCCTCGGTTCCCCAAGCACTGATGGTACTGTAGTAAGCAATGCGTAGACACATTTTTGTTTGATTCTGTAGTTCACTAGCTTATTTTTTTTTAATGGAACAATAGTAGTTTCTTGGGTTCCAATTAGCCAAATTTCATTCAATAATGATGTTTATGTTGAAACAGATGGTTGTATTTGTGAACAGAGTCATACATAAGCTAAACAAACATCATGATTCTTTGACCTTGAATCACCAGAGTAATTTCTTCCACAAAAAAAAAAAATCAAAAAATGTTCCAGGTGTGGTGGTACACACAGTTAGTCCCAGAGCTTGGCAGCTGAGCTGAGTGGAGGCCAGCCTGGGCGGTATAGTGAGAGTCTCATCTAAAAAATAACAAAAATACACATCACCTTCTCTTGGGCTGCAACTTCGTTAGGAACCTGCCATCCTTTTCTTGCACTAGAAAATCAAATGGTCTTGTGAATGGTCTCGCCTCTGAGATGAGAGGGTGGTGGTCTTTCTCACAGAGCTAGCCACTGGTTACCACGTATTAATACCAGCCCACAGTGCGGCTTTTGATTTCAGAAACAGGCAGGCAAAACAGCCACAGAATGCCAATCTGAAAGGGGTCCCATCTACCTCAACCACCTCCTTCTATGTACGTGAAATATAGAGTAATGTCGAGAGACTGGAAAATGCACATCTCATCATTGTCCCAAACCCAATGTTGGAATAATAGCAAGAAAAAAAATCCCAAAATGGAAGCGGGAGAGAAAAGAGTCAACACAAATGCCTCCTTTGCTGACAGTGCCTTTCCCTATTTTCCCTGTACACATCAGAATCTGGGGCCAACTACTCTGTAAGCTGACCCCAAAACACAGCTTTGCAAGGATGGAACAACCCTGGAGTTGTTGGTAAACATAGCTAATGCCTCTCTACCGGCCTTGCAACCGTAAAGGGAAGTGTCAGGGTTTGGAAAAAAGTGAGAGACTGGAGTCTCATCTTCCTACGGCCACTAAAGTCTCAGAGAGTCTCTGCATGGTATGTCACTTATAAAGATGATGACTAACGTCCATCCACGTCTACCAGACCAGGAACCTTGCCATCCAGCCCAATATTGTTTATGCTGCTGCCCCTCAAGTAGAGCACACTGTGAGAGGCTCCGCAGAGGGCTTCCTAGCACACATAAGGCCCCGTGTTCAATCCTCAGCACCACATACAACAGGCTGTTACAACAACTGCTGGTATTGTGCAGGCAAACACAAAAGGTGTGCACCCGTAACACCAGCACTCAGGAGAGGGAGGAGGATACAAAGTTCAAGGTCGTCCTTGGACTGTGAGGCAAGTCTCAGGTTAGCCTGGCCTACATGAGATGCTCTCTAAAAGAAAACAAGACAAGAAACCAACTGTGACAAGTGAGGGGTTTTTAGAGGACTGTGTCCCAAACTAGCTCTGTGACACGACAGTAGAAATAGTAGTTGTTTGAGTGTCATGAGTAAGCATTTTCCTTCCTCATAACACCCTGGGGAAGTTATTCTGATCATCATTTTGGACAGATGAGAAAGCTGAAGATTAAAGTTTAATAAAACCATAGTAGAACTGGCTTTCACCCCAAGTCCCCTAGGAACACAGGTCCCACTGTAAACTCTAGCCCTATTGCTTATGTCCCATGGAGAATAAGTATAGCTATCAGGACACACTCTGTGTGTGTGTGTGTGTGTGTGTGTGTGTGTGTGTGTGTGTGTGTGTGTGTGTTATTAAAGGCTCTATGAAGCTCTAGTAAGAAGGTTTCAATGATGAGCAACTGTGCAATGACAGAGGACACATCTGCTCACAAAAGGATTGCACAGAGATTGATACAAGCCCAAACTGTAGTTTTTTTTCTTAAAGTTGTTAATGTGCTTCATGTTACAGAAAGTAATCTTTCATTTTACTTTTTTTTTTGAGATAGGGTCTCACTACATAGCTCTGACTGTCCTGGAACTCACTATGTAGACCAGGCTGGCCTCGAACTCACAGAGATCCTCCTGCCTCTGCCTCCCAAGGGCTGGAATTAACAGCATCATCATTACATCCAGTTACTCTACTTACTATCTTCATTACAATCCCACCATCAGACTACAAACCTGTTGTGCTCGGGACCAAAACCAGCACCACGGAGCTGATCCTCGAAGGAATGGAATTTACTCTGGCACACTCTGATGTAGGAAGCCTTCCCAAGACCAAATCCCAAGAGACCAGCCACTGTAAAAGCAAGTTAGGAAACACAGACAGTTAATGGGAAAACTCAGAATCCTGTCCGTTAACCATTGCCTACACATCCATAACATCAGTCGTTTTACATTAAAACAATGTTCTCCTGAGAGCAGGTCTGAACACGGGAGACTTTCTGATCTCTGCTTGAGCTGACATGAGGAGGACCAGGGCAGAGCACACACTGGAGCTGGCCCAGAGCAGACATCCAGGGTGTGACCCAACTGTCAAGCCAACACCTGAGCTGCCAGGGGAGGGAGGGTGGGACTGGATCAGGTAGCTTCTATGTCTTGGGTGGCGAAGCCTTTTGGCCTGGTTGGTTTTTTTGTTTGTTTGTTTGTTTGTTTTCTTTGCCTTTTTAAAATAAGTCATAAAGAAGAGGACATCTCGTAAGAGAAATCTTCAATCTGTTCCTCTGGCTGGAAATAAGACTCATTTGTAAACTGACTAACTGACTAATTCTTCTAATACAAACCATCTATATGCACTAAGGAGAAGAAACCCAGACTTTGCAGTAAATTTCCTATTAAAGTGTCTCTGGTTTTAAAAAAAGTTACCCCCTTTTTAATATGCAATCTAGATAATATTTTTAAAAGACTGCTCAAGCCAAAAGAACAAAGCATAGCCCCCCTAATGAACCTGCGACTCAAAGGCTTTGCTGTTGACAACCTTATTGCCATTGGTTCCACACTCACAGGTTCCATAGCTGTGTGTTTAACCAACAACAGACTGAAGAAAATATTCAAGAAAAAAGTCTGCATCTGTTTTAAACATGTACAGGCCTTTTATGCATCATTCCCCAAGCATGGTATCACAACCATGCATATAGTATTTGCACTGTATCACGTGGTGTTATTGGTACCTGGAGACTGTCTTTAAAAACAGAGGGGTATGCACCATCAGATGTAAACACCCATCACTTATAAGAGGGATTTAGGCCCCTGCAGATACGGGTACCTGTGGATCCTCGAGCCTCTCCCATGGACACCGAGAGAAAACTGTATATATCTTGCTAGTCTTTGCTCATGCTTTAGAGATGACAGTGGCCCAAGTCCCTGCTGTTACCCTGCAGATCAGAGAGTGTTGGGATGACCCAGGCCACTGCAGGTCGGTGGTGAAAAACCTAGACTGCTCTCTGTAAGAGTCAGTTCTGGGAACAGGCTTAAGCTGATGTTCATAGCCTCAGTTCTTACAAACTGTCAAAATCAATCTGCTCTTTCACCTGTTTTAATGTTGGGGAATGAACTCGGGCCTGGGTGCTTCAAGTCACCTAGCTACCTCCCCAGCCCAAATCTGTTTTCAGTACTTACGTGCAACTTTAGGTAATGATCCAAATCTTGGATTAGCTGCTAAGTAACCTGAAGAGTAATATAGAAATGTATTTTTTGTTTAATAATTTATTTTAATTTGCAAAGAAAAAATCCAAGCTTAAGATATAACATTTCTAAAATGTGCATGTTATTAATCTGAAGAAATGGTTTTAAGAGAGTTATGATTCAACCTGTGGTTGAAGTTAACCCCCAGAAGCCGTCTCAGGAAAACGGTACATACTGGCTTTAATACGTGGAAAACAGCCAGGCAGTAGTGGCACACACCTTTAATCCCAGCACTTGGGAGGCAGAGGCAGGCAGTTCTCAGTGAGTTCTAGGCCAGCCAGAACAGAGAAACCCTGTCTCAAAAAAAAAAGTGGAAAACAATACAAAAGCCACTATTAAAAGCCAATATAAATAGATTCAAAGAGACTAACTAGTCACTGTGCTCTACTTTCAAGAGTAACTCAACAGAAAAAGTTCAACTCAGAGGCTCACAGCATATATACATCACAATTTAATTCTTATTTATTAATTATTAATAAATAAATTAGACAGGTGCTTCTATGTAGCCCCAGCTGTCCTGAAACTTGCTATGTAGACTAGGCTGGCCTTGAACTCAAAAATCTCCACACCTCTGCCTCTGCTGGGATAGAAGGCAGGTGTCACCATGTCTAGGCCATCATGATTTTAAAATGAAAACATTGTAGCTTGTGCTAGGCACTAGGCAGATTAGCTTATAAATATGTACACACCATAATCTTTGGTAACTCTGGATATGTTATAGTACAGAAGGGAATTAAGGTATAAAATAGAAGTAAGTTGCCTACTCAGATAACTTTAAAGTAGGGAGATGGTCCTGAATGGGCCAGGTGATTTAAGCATAATCACAGTGATTGCTGGTTGGCACTGAAGAGATCAGAAGTGGAAAAGCTTGGTTCAACATAGCTGGCTTTGGAGACGTAGGGAGAGGCTAACAGCCAAGAAGTATAGGAAGCCTCTCGAAGTTGGAGAGGGGAAAAAAAGATGAACTTCCAGGAGAAACGCAACTGTACCCCTATCTTGATTTTAACCTAGTGAGAGCAAACCTTTTTTTTTCCAAAAAAATATTTATTTATGTGAATACTCTATCTACACATACTAGAATAGGGGATCAGATTCCATCCGATTATAGATAGTTGTGAGACAGTATCGGGTAACTGAGAAGTGAACTCAGGTCCTCTGGAAGAGCAGCCAGTGCTCTTAACCACTGAGCCATCGCTCCAGCCTCAAGTGAGACCCATTCTGACCTTAGCCTCTGGATAATAATTATATGCTGTCTTAAGCTATTGTGCTCGCAGTGATTTCTTTAAGCAGCTGTAGGAAATGAACATACAACCCTGAACAGCACAGATGCAAGAGGTTGGGTAGACTTGGGGTGGGTGGATATTTAGAAGACCTCATTCCATAGATTCTGGCCATCCTTTAGCATCAAAAATAATTTAACAAAAATCTTGGTAGTAATTGGCAAAAGACTGTCTTCAAGTTATAAAATTGAAAACATATTTCATGAGACCTTCATGGATAAGGATAACAGCATCCAAAGTGGAATTTTCCTAGACATGTGACATACTGATGTTCAAGAAAAGAAAAAAAAAACCCAGGACATTTTGTTTGTAGACATTGATTATTTTTAACTTGTTTCAATGACATCTATCTTTACCGAAAGTTTTTTTTTTCTTCAGACATTTTTAAAATCATGGCTATTAGTAGCATTTGATTAGATGGGCTTACAGAGGGTCAGGTCCCCTGAGAGATACAGGGACTTCTCTAAGAGATAGGCACTGTTGGAGTCCCTGTGTCTGCTTCCTGATTATAACCACAGTGCGACCAAGGGCCTCACTGTGCTGCCACCATCCTTTTCCCCACCGTGGACTACTATATCCTTTCTTAAACAATGAGCCAAGTAAGCCCCTCCTTCCTTAAGCCATGGAAACAGGAGCAGTAGCCACTACATTCATGTGTCTTTGCCAAGGTGTCTTCTGATTGGTTTAATAAAGACCTGAATATCCAATAGCTAGACAGGAGGTATAGATGGAGACTTCCAGGCACAGACAGGACTCTAGGAAGAAGAGAGTCGGACACAGAATGGGATAGAGGTAAAAGTCATGTGACAGGATGTAGATTAATATAAATGAGTTAATTTAAGTTATAAGAGCTGGTGGGACAAGCCTAAGCTATAGGCCATGATTTCATGAAGACAAGAAGTCTTCATGTCCTTATTTGGGAGCTGGAAGGCAGGACAGAAAAAGACTCATAGTAGCTAAAAACAATCAAAAGCCTGCATGAAGCAAAAATTTTCAACCAATAAATAAATGCCCAAGGATTGCAGGGAAGGTCACCAAAAACTGGGCTCTCTGAGGCTAACGCATTAGTAAATATTTGCTCTTACCTTGGTGGACAAGTCCCTGGGTGACAAGCATGCTTATAAGAGAAAAAGGCAGAGCTGTAAAACAAACAAACAAATGCCCCTCAATATTAGTATCTTAACACATGGTCCCTTGGGGCACACAGGATTGCTCAATGGTACAAACACATCTCCAAGCATGGCGACCAGACCATGATCCTAGGACCCACATGGTGGGAAGAGCCAATCAACTCCTGTAGGCTGTCCTCTAACTCCACACGTAAACCATGCGTGCATGTCTTCACCAGATATAATTTGAGAAGACAAACAACTCAGCCTCTCACCTAGAAATCAGAGATATTTATTCTAAGATTTTTCTTCTTACCTAATTTGGCAGTGAGTTTTATTTGCCGCCCCCAAGACAGCCATGTAGCCTTGGCTGTCCTAGAACTCCTATGTAGAGCAGGCCTCCCTTGAACTCACAGAGATCTACCTGCCTCTGCCTTCCTAGTGTTGGGATTAAAGGTGTGCACCACTACACTCAGCTTTATTCACTTTGTATGTTACTGTTCAACAAACATTTCTTTAAAATTACATGGAGAATTTTCTTGGGAGTTATCCCAATAGCTCAGCCTGATGCATAGCATTAATCTAAATGGACACTCCACATTCAACTCAATCTCTGACAACCATCTCCACTGAATACTCAATATGCACATGATTCCAATGGCTACGTCTGACACGGGTCTCTTAATGTATATTCACTGAGCTGTAAATTTGGGTGTTACTTTTAGATACACACATACACACATATATCTATATCTGTGTCTATATATGGATATATATTCTTTGGTTTTTCGAGACAGCATTTATCTGTGTAGTCCTCAATGTCATAGAACTCATTTTTGTACACCAGGCTGGCCTCAGACTCAGAGATCTGCCTGCCTCTACCTCCTCAGTGCTGAAACTCTAGGCATGCATTGCCACCACCCAGATATATTTTGATATTTTCAATCATACATAAATTTTGAAAAGTAATACCATGAACTTCTATAGAGTCTTCTTTTAGATGCATTAATTACAGATTTATCTTTGAATACATCTCTATATTTTGCTTCTTATTTCTGTCATTTATTTATTTTCTGAGTCATTTGAGATTTGCAAACACCATCACTCTGAATATTTTAACAAGTAGCTTTTATAATCAAGTCAGTGTCCCCTGAAAATCACCATACCACCAGCGTAGTCAAGAAATATCCATGTGAATACTCAGACTCAAGAGGAATGATACTAACTAATCCACAATCTAAATTCTAATCTCTCCACCTAGTCCGAGAATATCCTTCATAGCTGCGGGTTTTTTTCCAGTGTGGAAGATCAAGGGTTATGCACTGTGTTGAACGTCCAATCTGTTTCGATCTAGGGCAGTTTCCTGTTGTCTCTGATTTTTGTCTTTACAACATTTTGACCCACTGTTGGATTATTGCACCCTTCCCCCATAGGGATCTGCTGACCAGCTTGTGACTAAGAGCTTCTAGCAAATACCTCTTGCACCCTCCTTCCAGTTAAGCTTGAATGCAAGTTCCTGTTTTCTACCCATCCTTATTGTCTAAATTCAAGTTCCTGTTGTCTGCCCATCCTTTGCTGGAGGGCCCTGGGAACCTGAGCTCCTGACCTTGGTAGTTTTCCACCATGCCTGCTTACTGGTATTTAATGCTCCGCTCTTGTTACAATAAACGCCATTCTCCTTGCAAGAATGAGCCACTGTCTTTTGTCTTCGTTTAAATCCTCAACCCTTCACCCAGATCACTGAGAAGTGTTGTAGCCCCGTACCCTTCGCTACATTGGCTATCTGCCTGAAGAGGCACATTGAAGGCTATAGACAGGCTCCACTCCTGCTTAGTGCGTGTAGTGTGTAGCTCAGGTTTTGAGTGCAGTCAACCACGCCTAGCATAAAGTGTTTCTAGTTCTCCCACAATGTGTCAAATGGCCTCTTCCAAAAGCAAAGAGCCTTCCTAGCAACCAAGGAGAGCCCGATAGCAGCCGGTTTTCCCATCATGGCTGAGAACCAGATGGCAGGCTAATGGGCCTGAATCTACCAGGTCAGTTAAACTCCTGGCTCAGAGGTTATCAGAAAAGAGATGAGATGCTAGCAGAACAATCAATAATCACAGTGATGCATGGTGAATGTCAAGTTCTAAGTGGTGGATGCAGACTGTGAATGGTTTATGATATCAAGAATACTGCCTCTGTCATTAATGTACACAGCATTGGGCTGGATGAATAGGTTCCATTATGCCACTCTCAAATGTCAAATTATGAATTTATTAAACCAAAAGGGATGTGAACACAGCCTGAATTCCCAGCCTTGTCTTATGTAAGGCAATGCGGGGATGAGGAAGCAACTCAGCAGAGAACAGTAACGTGGAGAGGAGTGTTGATGGATGAAGCCAGCTTCCTCAGAAATCAACAAGCATTTCTGAGGGATTCCCTGTGTGTGAGACTGTGGGCTGAAGCCCAGAGGAACCTGACACCACCTCTGAGCCGAGACTCTGATGGAATTTATGAAGGCCTGCTTTGTGGCAGTAAGACATGTTATATAATATTTTTTGGCCTATGTTCTTGCTTCCATGAAAGGGAGAGTCACGCATGCATCTGTTCTTACTGGGTGAGGTAAAGTGTGTGGTAACTGCATATTATCTCTGCCTGAAGAGAATAGCATGGATTCAAAATTCAAACCTCCATAAATACCCAAGTTCTTTAGGGACTTATGCAAAATTCCTGTTCAAAATTCATTGGTCATCATGATTCTATTCTAATAGGACATGGAAGTAATCTATTGCTGCAACATTAATTATTAAATCAATAGTTAATTTTTATTTAGCATTTATTAAATCGAACAACTTGTTAAATGGTTGTATTAAACTATTCATTAAGGCCCAGAAGGTGTGAGTACCTCTCTTCCAGAAACTTTCTTCTTGACACTCTCGGATAATCTTGGCAATCTCTCCTCTGTGGATGTGTAGTTTTGACTTTGGGCAAAACAGCAGGCTCTGTAGGGAAAAACACTGTGGGTTAACTGAGCTCAAGCACCCAGGAGGCTGAGGTCAGAGGATCCTGGGTACAAGGCCAGCCTTGGCTAAATAGTGAAATCCTATCTCAAAGTAAAACCAATAAACAAAATCCAGACAAATACAAAACTGAGGTCGCAAACGTCTCTACCATGTTTCCTCTGGTGTAATGGGATCTCTCCTGATGCTAGCTGGTTGCCTGCACAGACCAGTGACCACTAACCACTGCTTTCCAGCCGGCCCTGATGCATAGACTTGGACAAGGCAGAATTTCTGCTTGAGAGACAGGGTGGTTCAGTGACCAGGGTGTGCAGAACAGCTCTCCCAGGCCGAGTGCTGCAAGCACCAGGTCCTCGCTCTGCTCCACACTGTCCAGGGATCATGGTAATCACAATGGTGGCTTGTTCCTTTGCTTGTTTAAGCTCCAGCTCAATGGTGCACCTGCAGTGAAGACAGACTTTCTGATTTTGCCACTTTTTAAAAAAGACTGTTTGCCTGTGGCTACCAATGTGGATGCTAGTCACCATTTCTTGAGTGCTTCTCATGGACCAGGCACCATTTTCACACTTGGCAAACATACACAATGACACACTGACAGGGTGGAGGGACCCTGTGGCACTTACACTTCTGAGGTAGTGCAAGCTGGTAACCTCTCTCTTTCATTTCTCGGGACCTCCTTGCAACGCAGTGGAGGAATACAGAGGTCAGTGTGGTTCACAGAGATCAGGAGCCATGGCAATGCACTCCAGTGGGACAGGCAACTGTTGGTACTGTCTGTACTATGGATTCTCAGAGCAAGCCCTACTCCCCATTTCCAGGATAAATACAGATGGCCTCCGACTTAGAGGTTCATGTTTGTGTGTGTGTGTGTGTGTGTAAGTATACATGCAGATGTGTGGAGGCCAGAGTTTGACAGTGAGTGTCTATCTCTTTCCATGTTTTACCTCTCTCTCTCTCTCTCTCTCTCTCTCTCTCTCTCTCTCTCTCTCTCTCTCTCTCTCTCTCTCTCTCTCTCTCTCGTGTGTGTGTGTGTGTGTGTATGTCTGTGTGTGTGTGTGCGCACACATGCATGTGTGTTCTCTTGTTTTGGTTTTAAAGACAGCATTTCTCTTTTTTTAATTTTATGTATGTTTTTTATTTAAATTAGAAACATGCAAGCTTCAAATGTCAATCCTGGCTCCCCCCTTCTCTCTCCACCAGCCCCACCCCCACCCCAGCCCAATCCCCACATCATTCTCCAAGGAGGGTGAGGCCCTCCTTGGGGGGATGTCTAAAGTCTGTCATTTCATCCAGGGCAGGACCTAGGCCCTTCCCCATGTGTCCAGACTGAGAGAGAGCATCCCTCCATGTGGAATGGGCTCCCAAAGTTCATTTGTATGCCATGGTGAACACTAGTCTACCACCCAAGGCTCCAGAGATTTCTGTGGCCTCCTCACTGACACTACATTCATGGAGTCTGGATCAGTCCCCTGTTGGCCTCTCAGTCATCAGTCTGGGTTCAAGAGCTCCCCCTTGTCCAGTCAGCTTAAAGACAGCATTTCTCATTTGACTCGGAGCTCACTGATTCAGTCAGTCTGATTGACAAGCAAACCTCAGGGTTCCTGTACCTCAGTCTCCCCAGAACTAGGATTACAGGTGTGCTGCACCTGGATTTTTATGTGGGTGTTAGGGATCTGAACTTGTGCTGCAGGCATTTTACCAATTCCCTGGGTATTTCGTCATCTCCCCAACCCAGCAGTTCAGACTGTTATTTTACTTTAGCATATTGAGCTCGATAGTTTGATGTCAACTTGACACAAGCTAAAGCCATCTGAGAGGAAGGTACCTCAATTAAGAAACCGCCTCCATAAGATCTGGATTGGTTAATGTAGAGGCCACATTAATTGTGAGTAGGCCACCCCTGGGCTGGTGGTCCTGGATTCTATAAGAAAACGGGCTGAACAAGTCATGCTGAGCAAGCCAGTAAACAGCATCCCTCCATGGCCTCTGCATCAGCTCCTGCCCCCAGCTTCCAACCCTGCTTGAGTTTCTGACCCAACTTCCTTTGATGATGAACTGTGATGTGGAAGTATAAGCTGATTAAACTCTCCTCCCTGACTTGCTTTTGGTCAGAAGCCCTAGTGAAGACACATGTTCTGAAAGTGATACACATTCATTGGGAACTACATTTTGAAGTCTGAACTTGTCCTAAGCTGAGGATATGTAGCACTGTATTTTCTCATGATGCCAGACGGCAGCACAGAGGCACAGCTTCAAGTCAGCAGTGAGATCACAAGCTCACACCCACAACACTCTGCAGTGGACCATAGCGCTAGGATTTCCAGTGGCGTTTGAAACCAACAACAGTTGTGACTTACAGTGGATTTTTGAGACAACATTCCATTGTAAATCAAGCCATATCTGTATTTGTTTCTTGTCCTCTCTGTATCCATGGCAGAAATAAAGAACCCCCCCCCAGCATGTACAGGGTAATACACACATGTATTCAGATCTGACCACCATAACTTCTGTAAGTCCAGCACTCAAGATAAGTGGGGCTTGGGGGATCTTTTACAGTAGTGCCATGAATGTTTTACAGTTCTCTATTTCACAGGGGCAGCTAGGGTGTCCGAATGCCTCTCCTTGTGACCTGTTGTCACTTGTCTGTTTCTCCTATACTTTGTTGCTTAAATGCTCTCTCTTCCCGAAAACCAAGTCTAGCTTGAAAAGTTGACTCCAGAACAGGGACTCCAGTAACCAGGAGACACTTGCTCTCCTTTTCATCCGTATTTTCCCAAATCACAACACCCATTCCTGACAAGCTAGCATGTGGGCTCTCAATCTGACGGCTAATTAGTCATTATGGATCCTGTTATGCTGAAAGCAGCATATGTTCAGAATGATCACCCTGGGAAACAAAAGCGAGAAGATGAGGTGCTGTGTCATTCTGTTAGGGACAAGCCAGAGCTTTGCTCTGCCTTGGTGGTACACCTGCTCTGTCACCGGCTGTGTTGAAAGAGCGAAGCTGGATTCTGAACAGGAAAGAGTTTGGTTTGCAAACCAAATCTTAGCAGGCTTTTTAAGAGAGCCTGAACATTTCCGCCTCACTCCATCTTCCTCGCATCTGTCTGACAAAGGCCAGGCTGAGGAAAGGTGTCCAAAGCTCAGGAGCTGTCTTAGTTGCTGAAGTACCTGTCACACAAACACGGGGAATAGTTTGGATCTCCGGAAGGGCTTGAAAAGATGGTCGCTTGTGTCTGTAACTTCATTACTGAAGAAACTGACTTACTGGCTAGCTAGCCTGACTGGATCAGTGAGCTCCAGCTTCACTGAAGACCCTGTCTCAGAAGATGAAGCGAGGGCTGGTGAGATGGCTCAGTGAGGAAAGGCACCGGCTACCAAGCTTCATGACCTAGGTTCAATCCATTGGACCCACGTGGTGAAAGCAGAGAAATGACTCACTTTTGACTCCTGCAAGTTGTCCACTGATCCCCACACACTTGCCATGGCACGCATGTGGGTGTGGCATATATGATGTATAAATAAATATAAAAAATTTTAAGTGTGTAGAGTGACTAAGGAAAATAGTGAACATCAATCCCTGGTCTCCTTGTACAGGAATACACCTGCACACACACACACACACACACACACACACACACACACACACACACGCGCGCGCGCACACACACATACACACACAGAGTCAGATGATTGACAGGATCTAGTGATGGTCTTGTGTGATAGTTTTCCTCAGAATCTCAAACTTACACATACCTGCTTGCTCAGTGGTGGCAAGTGGGGGCTTTTCTCTTGGTTTCCATGAGTGGATACGGAGGCCATGATGACGTTGTCCTTCCTTGGATGTCTGCTGAATGCTCTGAATACTCCTTGGCCTGATGACTAAGGAAAGTAGAAGAGTCTCACTGTACCAGATCTGAGTACTTACATACCAGGTTTCAAATCACCCCTCACATCAATGGCACTAACTCAGAAAACTTCCTGTTTTCATCTTGTTATCAGTTCTGACCTTCAGCCATCTATAAACTCAATGTTTTTACATTTATTTATTTTGGGGTGTAATGGGGCGTGTTGTGTCATGTACACATGAAGTTCGGAGAACAACTTGCAGGAGTCAGTTCTCTCCTGTCATGAGTATCCCAGGAATCAATCTTAAGTTGTTTGACTTGGTGGCGCACGCCTTTACCCACTGAACCATCTTAGGAGCCCTACACTCTCAATTTCCTTCTTTAAAGAAAACCAAGATTAACCGTGTGGTGGTGGCACATGCCTTTAATCCCAGCATTCGGGAGGTAGAGGCAGGTGGATCTCTGTAAGTTCCAGGATAGCCTGGTCTACAAAGCTACAAAGAAACCCTGTCTCAACCCCCTCCCCCCAAGAAAAAGAAAGAAAGGAAAAGAAAAACAAGATTCTTAACTTGTAATTATGTGAGAAGTTTCAGTGTTAATGGAGGCAAGAGCAGTCAAATCTCCCTGGAGCTGGAGTTATATTCAAGTAGCTATAAGCCACCTAAGATAGGTGCTGGGAATTGAACTTAGGTCCTCTAGGAGCAGTGTGTGCTCTTGATTGCTGAGCTAGCTCGTCAGTCCTTACAATCTCAATATCTCATGACTCCCTAATACACATCTATACATTCATACCCCCCAAACACACACCCATATACTCACACATAGTGACAGGTCTGATTTAAGAGTGGAATGAAATGTCACACTACATGCACGTTTTATCGTCCATAAATTATGCCTTTAAAACATCTCCAAGTATTATTAAAAGTTAATAACTAGTCAAATGTTTGCTGAGTGTCTATGAAATGCCAAGGACCAGGCTACAAAGGCCAAGATAAATTCACTGTATGAGGAGCACGGACTAAAGGGAACATCTGATAAGTCAGTAATTACTCACTAGGAGACGGTCCAAGAGGCAAGGCCAGGGTGCTAAGGAAGAAGAAGAATGAAGGGCTGTCCTGTCAGGTGCGCAGACCCCTAAGGACACCACAAGGAGAGGGGGGATGTCCAGGAACAGGACAGCAAGTTTAGACAGTGGTTAAAACTGTCTGGAGAGCCGTGCAGTGGTGGCACACGCCTTTAATCCCAGCACTCAGGAGACAGAGGCAGGAGGATCTCTGTGAGCTCGAAGCCAGCCTGGTCTACAGAGCAAGTTCCAGGACAGGCTCCAAAGCTACAGAAAAATCCTGTCTCAAAAAACAAACAAACAAACAAACAAACAACTGTTTAGACAAGAAACTGAAGACCAAAATTGATACCTTATTGGGAAAGGTGAAGATAAGAAATTTGGGTTTGGAAATATTGTGTGTGTGTGTGTGTGTGTGTGTGTGTGCAAACCCTGGAAATAGCCAGTGAAGACTGAAATATTTACGGATCTCGGTCTGGAATTTCAGATTAGGTGAAGATTGGAGGGATAAAACTGCCCTCATAGAGATGGATGTTAAAGGGACCTGGACACATTCATCTACAAAGAGTACTGAAGAATGTGAACATTGAACCCAAAGGGATATTGATGAGCTAAGAAATAGAAGAAATGGATCATACTTCAAGGGTCTGACTTCCAGTGAAGGGACGATGCAGCTACCAGGGAATTACTGAAGGAGCTATCAACGGTGGTCACACAGCCTGGTGCTGGCAAGGATGGATATGCTCCAGGTGGGCCATGAGCCTCCTTTCCCCTTAGCCCTGGGCCCTACTGACTCTCTTACAAAAGGACAGCTCATATAGAATTGTGTTTCCTACATTAGTGACTCACTGGCAAGAAATATGAGCCCAGGGCTCCTCCCTGTACATTTCACCTTGGGTGCCTAGTGCTGGGGAGGAACATGATGCCTACAGTGTTAGATATGAAGATGGCTATAATAACCTGACTGTGCACCCCCTCCCCTTGAGACAGAGTCTCACTATGTCACCCTAGTTGTCCTCTAACTCCCTAGGCTGGCCTCGAACTCACAGAGATCTGTCTGCTTCTGCCACCTGAGTGCTGTGCTAAAGGTGTCTGGAACAAAGCCCCGCCAGCACTCCAGTTCTAACTCTGACTTTCTTTGCTGGTCCTGGGCATTGGGACAAGGAATATGAAGTGTCCGGGCCTTTGCTTTGACACCTGTTATTCAGGCACAGCTGTGGCAAGGAGGAGACATGAAGACACAGTACCGGGGCATAGTGGTGGGTGTATAAGCAGTAGGAGAACAGTGTCAGAGTGACCCTGGGAATCTGATTGTCTAGGAAATAAGATCCTAGGAAGTCTTTGTCACCTGCCACCAAATTAGATTATTTTTGCACGGTCAGACCTAGGGCCACCCCAACAACCAGGAAGGAAGCAACATAGCCTTCAGCGTTGGTGGAATGGGGCATCCTGAATCCGGTTTCCTCATTCGGACATCTGAGCAAGCCTTCTGGGTGAAGCCACACACACACACACACACACACACACACACACACACACACACACACACGCGCGCGCGCGCGCACGCACTCAGGTCTGGACTAGGGGTGCAATGGCAGCCTGACTCAGCCTATGTTGGGGGAGGGGAGGTTGACCCAGAATCAGCTAGCTGGGTTCCAAGGCTAGGTCTATCCGGAGGCCGCCTGCAAAACTCGGTGCCAGAACCCCAGTGCGGGGTCGCAGGAATCGGATGCACTGGGAGAGAAGCACAGAGGTGACGAGGGACTGGAGATCTGACGCCGCGATGCGGCGGAGCCTGTGACGGTCTGCTCAGCGTCTGCCCACCTCCCAGGGACCCGGGAACGAAAGCCAGTAGAGAAAGACACTGCCCCAGGCCACATTCTCCCTCCCGCCGTCGCCCCACCTCCGCGGGCTCACCTGCAGGGTGAGTGCTTCCGAGGCCGCGCTGCCCCCCTCCTTACACCGGCGGCTGCGGTGTACCCACGTCCCGCTGCCCACGCCCACCGCCCCACCTGGAGCCCAAGGTCCCCTCTCTCCCTCCCCTCACCTCTCTTCGCGATATCCCTTTTCTTCTCTTCCTTTTCTTCCCTCCTTTCTCCTTCTTCCTGATGTCGCTCCGCCCCGCACCTCTGCGTGCCACTAGCTCAAGAGCAGCCCGCCCCCACTTGCTTTCTCTTCCTCAGTTGGCGACACAGGAAGCGAGAATCCAGCACGTTCTAGAAGCCCTCATTTCCCTGTCTCTTCCTGACACCTGGTAGGCCCACCTCGTTGTCTTTCACGTGACTCGGTCCTCAGGACAAAAACACTCGACTGTCGTTCTCTGAACACCTACACATCTCAGCAATACTATTGGCAGCCGGTAGGGTTCCTAACCTGAGGGAATCCTTTGCAGGCCACCTTGGTTCCTTAGCTTTTCCTTGCCAAGCTTTCCCCCTCCCAACCGCTTGTGGGAAGGTGGTGGTGGTGGTGGTGGTGTGTGTGTGTGTAAGTGTATTTGTGAGCATGTATGAGTATGTATGTGTCTGTGTGACTGAGTGTTAAGTGTGTATGTATGTGTGTTAGGACATGTGATGGTGTATGAGAGTGTATGAGTGTGTGTATGTATGTGTGTGGTGGTGTGTCCATGTGTGTATGCATGTGTGGGTGTGTGCATTGAGAACAAGAATTCCACGAAAGAAGCTGTGTCTGCAGAGACTGATCTATTAGAGTTGTGGCTCTGTGGAGAGGATGGAATGTTGCAGGACCAGGGTCTGATTGCCTTACCTACCTAAGCCCCTGCAACAGCCACTCCTTACCCACCTCTCTGTCAAACCTGGTGGCCTGTGTGTGCCTGCTGCCCACAGAGTCAGAAGAGGGCACCAGATGCCCTGGAACTGGATTCCAGATGCTCGTGAGCTGCTATGTGGGTGCTGAGAACCAAACCTGGTTGGCCTGCAAGCGCAACAACTGCTCTTAACCACTGAGCCATCTCTCCAGCCGCTGACCTGGCATTTTCTGCCCACGTTTCCTGGCCTACTGCCTGGCTAAAGCAGACACTCTTCTGTCGATCTGGACAAAGCTGTTTCCTCTCACAGCACTTGGTGCAGTTACTATCTACTGAAAAAAAAACAAAACAAACAGACAAAAACAATAGGTACCACAAGCAAGAGAGCGTCGTCTCCACTTGCTTTTAGTTGACTTTAAAAATCACCATTTTGGGAGGTCACGAAGCTCAGCAGTGTGTGTGTACCTTGGCCTTCTGGATCCGATATCTGCTCATCTGTTAATCATTTAGGGATTGTTTCTCTGAAATTGGCAATAGAAGATTGACTACACCTCCACCTCCCCTCCCCCACCCTCCAGGACTGGAGATGGTTCAGTGGTTAAGAGTACTGCTCTTACAAAACTTAAGTCCAAATGGATCAAAGACCTCAACATAAATCCAGCCACACTGAACCTCTTAGAAGAGAAAGTGGGAGGTACTCTTGAACGAATTGGTACAGGAGACAGCTTCCTGAACATAACACCAGTAGCACAGACAGTGAGATCCACAATTAATAGATGGGACCTCCTGAAACTGAGAAGCTTCTGTAAGGCAAATGACACAGTCAGCAAGACAAAAAGGCAACCCACAGAATGGGAAAAAATATCCACTAACCCCACATCTGACAGAGGGTTGATCTCCAAAATTTACAAAGAACTCAAGAAGCTAGTGTCCAAAACACCAAAGGATCCAGTTAAAAAGTGGGCTGCAGAACTAAATAGAGAATTGTCAAAAGAGGAGTCTAAAATGGCTGAGAGGCACTTGAGAAAGTGCTCAACATCCTTAGCCATCCGGGAAATGAAAATCAAGACAACTCTTAGATACCATCACACTCCTGTCAGAATGGCTAAAATCAAAAACACCAACGACAATCTATGCTGGAGAGGATGTGGTAAAAGGGGAACACTCCTCCATTGCTGGTGGGAGTGCCAACTTGTTCAGCCACTTTGGAAATCAGTGTGGAGATTCCTCAGAAAAATGGGAATAAACCTACCACAAGACCCAGCAACTCCACTCTTAGGCATATATCCAAAAGATGCCCATTCATACAACAAAGATGTCTGTTCCACTATGTTCATAGCAGCATTATTTGTAGTAGCCAGAACTTGGAAGCAACCTAGATGCCCCTCAACTGAAGAGTGGATAGATAAAATGTGGTACATTTACACAATAGAGTACTATTCAGCAGAAAAAAAAACAATGGAATCCTGAGATTTGCAGGAAAATGAATGACACTAGAAGAAACCATCCTGAGTGAGGTAACCCAGTCACGAAAAGAGAAACATGGCATGTATTCTCTCATATATGGATTTTAGACGTAGATCTGGGGAGCGCCAGCCTACAATCCCATGGCCAGAGAGTCAGGAAAACAGAACCTTCATTCAGTGGCTGATGGAGGCAGAGGCAGACTCCCACGGCTAAGCACTGAGCTGAACTCAAGAAAGCCAGTAACAGAGAGGGAGAACTGATGACCAAAGGGATTAAGACTGGGCTGGTTTAACCCCTAGAAACAGCTGACCTGACAAGGGTTAACTCTTGAATCCCAGGCTGATGCCTGGGAATCCAGCATGGGGCTGATCAGGACTCCCTGAATGTGGGTGTCAGTGAGGAGGCCTAGGGAATCTATTGAGCCTTGGGTAGTAGATCAGTATTTATCCCAGGTATACATATGGACTTTGGGCTCCCATCCAACAATGAGAGATGCACTCTCACCCTGGACTCTTGGGGAAGGTTCTTGGCCCTGCCCTGGATGAAATGACAGACTATGGACACCCCCATGGAAGAACTCACCCTCCCTGGGGAAAGGAGGGGGTATTGGGTGGGTGGTGGGAGGGGGGTGGGAGGAAGGGAGGGAAAGGGAGAGGGACGTGAGATTGACATGTGAAGAAACCTTGTTTCTAATTTGAATTTAAATTTAAAAATAAAATTTTTAATAAAAAATAAAATAAAATAAACCAGAGGGGGGGAAAAAAAGAGTACAGCTCTTCCAGAGGACTAGAGTTAGGCTCCAAACAGCATGGCAAGGGACATAACTCCTCCCTCTGGTCCCTATGGGCAGACGTGAACACTCACACACACATACACATAAATAAACTAAATCCTTTTTTTTAAAAAAAGATACTGTTGTTTTCCTTCCCCAGTAGACAGTGGCAGACTGTGCCCCACCCCCTCACAACTCAATGGCTTCTCTCTCCCTGCAGGGTTTCATTTTCTCTTGACCCAATTTTACTCTCAAATTAAAGGGGCTATAGACCTGCTAATTTTATATTCTGTTACCAGAAGTCAGAAATAAGCCTCTGTGGTTCTGTGGTCTTCAGGGTTGAACTTTCTAATTCCTCTTGTGATGTAGTGTCCCCCCCCCCCCGCCATCTCACACAAACCCTAAGTGGCATTTACCCTCCACCATCTTGGTGCTGTGAGTGTGGGAGTGTGTGTGCCTCCTTTACATCTCCACTTCCCACCAGAATGTTCCAGTAAATTGCTTTAAATAGCTAGACATTGCCCTACGCAACGCTTGCGGCTTGAGTCCCTGACACGACACTTGGTTGACTACTCTGGTGCATCCGTGTGCAAGCATGCTCAGAGTCACAAGACACGGGCCAGCTCCACAAAGGAGTCACCTTTAATGAAGAATTAGAATAAAACAACACAGACTTGGCCCTACAAGCCCAACACAAGGAGTGGCGTCTGTTAGACTTGACTTTAGCATCATGCAGGGCCTGAGGATCATGAATACAAAGCTGATTCTCAGTGGCTAGGTTACAATGTGCTAAGTCATTCATGGCAGGCTCCAGTGTGAACTGTTTCTGTAGTCCCCTGTTGTTCGCAGGCCACATCCAGATTCATTATCCAGGCTTGCACGATTCAGCCCTCAGGCCCTCTGAGGGGATGACTGAATGGTTGGTGTTCACTCCTCCTTTTTGTTCAGCCTGGGTCAACCTTGACCTTTTCTCTCCTCCTTCACCTAACACTCAGCTCTGAGGTCACCTCTTGGAAAACCACCCACTTCAAGTGTACTTTAAGATACACACTGGTGTCATGACCCACAGTCCTTGCCACCGGCTTTTCCAGTAGCCTGCTCTAGACTACCTCAGTGGTGCCTAGCCTTCTATCGTCAGTCCTTTCCTCCTAAGTCCTTCTCCCCAACCTAAGCATTCTGTAATGGATGCCTGCCAGCCCCTCCTCCCCACACGTGCCACGTATGTCATTTCTAGTAAACATAGCACTCATCACATTTCAAACACCTGGTGCCAAGTACTTGGATTCTTCTCTTTTGTGTTGCTGTAAAGAAAAGAGCCGGGTGTGGTGGCGCATGTCTTTAATCCAGCAGGCAGAGGTGAGTGGAACTCTGGGAGGCCAGCCTGGTCTATAGAGTGAGTTCCAGGATAGGTAGAGAGCTGCATAATAGGGAGATCCTGTCTCAGAGAGAGAGAGAGACAGAGAGACAGAGAGACAGAGAGAGACAGAGAGACAGAGAGACAGAGAGACAGAGAGACAGAGACAGACAGAGACAGAGATAGAGATTGACTTAGGTCATGGTTTTAGAGGCTGAAAACCTGAGCTAGGGAAGCTCCATGACTTTAGTCCTCTTGAAGGGTGGTGGAGAGTGGGGCATCATGATGGTGAGACATGAAACCAGAGGTGAGCTCGGGAGCTAGACTTCGGATTTTATAACAACTCACTCACAGGAACTGTGGAAACAGCCTTAATGCTATTCAAGAGTGATCCTATCTCCCAGCACTGTAACCCTGAGGAAGGGACACACAAACCTTGTCATCTTCCAAGCCATGTTATCGTTTAACTGAATCCCACTGCAGTCCTGTGAGAGGGAACAATAACCCAGTTACACAGCCAAGAAGTGTCAGAACTAAAAGCCCGGAATCCCTTGCTTCTGAACACCACCACGTGCTCATCCTCTGATGTCCTCCCAGGCAGAATCAGCAATGAAACTCACTCCCTCTTGAGGTAAGCTCCTTGTGGCTGTTCCAGCCAGAAAGTGGCATATGTTTGAACTCATGAATGACACAGGTGACATTGAACTTAATGAGGCACATGAGAGACAGATAATGCACTGCTACTAACAGAAATTTATTTTTCTTCTTTTCTTTCTTCCTTCCTTGCTTTGTTCTTCTTCCCCCTCTCTCCCTCCTTCCCTCCCTCCCTCTTCCTCCTCCTCCTCCTCCTCTTCCTCCACTTCCTCTTCCTCCTTCTGTTTTTTTGAGACCGGTTTCTCTGTATAACCCTAGCTGCCCTTGAACTTGCTCTGTAGACCAGGCTGGCCTCAAACTCACA